CGCCATGTTCAAGTTATATCACAAATATGCAGAGAAAACGGGATAGAATGTACAAAGAAAGTTGGGGACCCAGAATGGCTAAAGCAGACACCAGAAATGTAAAGAGAAAAAAGTTAGAATGTGTGCAGGAATGATTAGATGGGAAGTACGGTAGTCGATGTCGATCGTCGAAGGAATGAAGTGAACAGAGACGTCATGAAGAACAATCCACGCTCACCACCAGGCACATATGAGAGTATGTACCTGAAAAAAGAGACAGTTAGATTTAATAAACAAATGATTTCATTTTGGTACATAATTGTTTGGTGCGCATTTGGTTTTATGTGACAACAAGCTTTGATATTGGATGCTCTTGAATTTCGACTTGCTGAACGAATATGTGCTCTCAAATTTCCAAATTGATCTTCACACTTTAACAAAGTTCAATTTTTTCAGATCGACAATTATTTTTCAGTTTTGTACAGAAAATTATGTCTGTTCATTTCCTCAAAGCTTGGTCCATATCTTTAAATATAACCACCAATTTCCCCTTCAATTCAGAACGTTCCATCAGAATAACAAGTCCATCAGTCCTACGTCATCCTTTTTTCTCTTTTCTCCCAATTGAATCTGGTTACCAAATTCACATCATTAGACATCGTCAAAGTTCGTTTTCATTCACAGAAATCTGATATCGAAAAAAAAGAAAGAATCGAAACACATGGAATATTTAAATAAGACATCATCGTCTTCAGTTTCTAAACTACAAACTTTTTTTTTGCTTTTAGTGAAATAGTTTGTGTGAAAACAAAAAAAAAAGCGGTCAAGAGTACCCGTTGCCCAAAAAGTCGTCTATCAATCAGTTTTTTCCACAGTGAAGGGGGGCTTAACGGACCACTGGGGATTTGATCATATTCCGCGTGTTGCGGTTTGTTCCTTCGCTTTGCTTCAAAAAATGGTAGCTCCAATAAGAACTAAAAAAAATGAGTAGATGTTTCTAGACCCTTTCACATAGTAGAGTAAAGAATGTGCAAGAGTTTTTAAGTATTAGAAAAAGATATTAATAGATACCGTAATAGAAAACCACCCTATATGTGTACTTTGAGATCAATTATCTCAATTTCTATAAGAGATACCAAGAATCTGCCTTTCATACAAATTGAGATAATTGAGCTCAAAGAGCAAGTATACGGTGACCTTCTATTAGGGTGTTGACGGTATGTCGTCTTTTTTTCGATTTCTTTCGAGCTGGTTTTATCGAACGCTTCTCAATAAATTCAGTAGAGAATTGCTCTTTTTGATCTCAAAGGTAAGTTGAGTAACCATTTTTCGACCTCGCGTCACTATGCCACTTATCGGCCAGACATCATTAGGAATTCATGTCTTTTTGAAACCGAATTTTTTTTGGCATTCTTTTCGAAAACAACGCCTGTGTGGCACTAGTCGATCGCTAATTTTTGAGCAAGTTCGTTCACCAACTAAATTTTTAATCAAAGTTATATTTTAAACTCGATTTTCGATTCTTTTTGCGTTGTGATATTCTCAGAATTCTTAGTGACAAAAAAAAAAGATTTTTTCTGCCGATTTTGTCTCTCGATAAATGCAATTTGCTGGCTTGAAAGCTCGCCCCGAAATTAATTGAATTTTATTTTTTTTTTCGCTGTCTTTTCTCCACTATTTTCCTAATAATCTGTGCATTTCCCGGAAGCAGAATTTGAAAACTAACCATACGAGAGTAAATCCTTGAAAAATGGCGGCGACCAGTGTGAAGATTGTGCTTTTGAGCTGTAAAAAAGTCAGATTCGTATAGTTTTAATTATGATTTGTTTGTTTATGCGTTTCTATGAATCAAGTAAAAGCATTCTCTCATAATGAGTATGTACATATCAAATCTGATTTATTTTGATGAGAAGTAGTCTGGACACCTTCTCTCGAAGATTCTCTCACATGCATTATTTGTGAGATGGGAGGTCGAAGTATAGCAACTTTTAACCTTTATATGATTATTCCGGATATAGTGGCATACATTCAGAATCACGTAGGCTTTGCAGTGAATCTAGATCTTGACAACCCTATGGTTGATTAACCTTACTTTTTGGACTGCTCCTTTCTCAATGCATACGTGCTCTTCCGAAGCTCAAAACCTTCCTCTCCACAAATAACTTTCTCATATTTTCCCTGGTACTAGTAACGCCCCAACAGCATCTTCTCCATCCCATTCCAAAATCCAATTCCAACCAGATTTCATGTGGCGGGGCAAAACCACTACCAAAAGGCACTTCTGAAAAGAAGTCTTGGGTACTCGTTCTCTTTTTTTTCGTCTTTTTTTCGTCACTTTCCCGGAACAAATATCATTCGATTAGGCACAGAAAGCTCACTTTAAAGTACTTTCAGGCACTTGTTTTTTATTTTTCCCAATCTCGCTTCTCGTGTTTTGCTATGAGGAATGTGTTTCTCTGTGCTTGTTCTTCTTTTTTTTCATCTTCAAGTCAACATCTCATTTCTCACTTTTCACCCTAGAACTCATTAAGTTCATCAAGCACATTCCCAAACCTTGCTCTCTTCTAAGCGGTTTTCTGATTACAGTAACCCGCCCACGTCATAGTTTCTAAAAAAAAGAAGAAGAAGAAGAACCAAACAAAATGATGCTGATAACTCAATTAGTGAGCGTCTTGGTGACCGCCTATTACTTGTTCTCAATGTGCAAATTAAGCTGCTCAGCGACTCATTTTTCGTTTCGCCTTCGCCTTCTCCTACCAAAACAATTTTCAGTTGAGCACCCCAAAAAGCAGCGAAAAACACGTGCCTTACATAGACCATTCTGACATATTTATGGCGGTTCAGTAGTCAACGAGTTGTGCCCCAATTTTCAGTGAAAATTTTTACCAATTTCTTCGGCCTCTTCCTTTCATATATTTAGATGGCGTGTGTCGTTTTCAGAAGAACAAAAAACGGAAACGAAGAAATAAAAAAACCCAGAAAAAGAAGAAGCGGGAGGAGAACATAAGGCTTATGTGGTGCATTTAATCGAATCAAATCTAAGAAACCGCGACAAATCCTTTAATTTCAGTCATTTTTTTTCATGAACAAAAGAACAAAAGTTAGAAAAAAGTCGTCGTGGATCATCATGCACATGGCGGCCAGATGACCTGAGATTAATAGTTTTTGAGATTGGTGGGAATTGAACCGAGTTCATGCAGATTTTTGCATTAATCCGGGTTTTCATTCATCTCTCTTCGTCTCCATTCGGAAATTGAAAAATTGATATTTTGTTTCTTTTCCTCATAAATATTCCCGTCTTTCTCCTCCATTTCTTGCAAAAGAAGGAATCTGGAAGTCTCTTAGGAATGAGAAGTGTTCTTTTTTTAGACAAAATTCTAGATCAAAATTCTCTTCTCATTTTTATAATTGTGGATTAGTATAGTATATAGATCGAAGAACATAAATTCTTCTATAAACGAGAGTACTTATAAGTTTTTCGACTGGAAACCACCACCAAATTGTATCGAGAAAGGAAGTAATCGGAAGCGTTACGAAAGAGCACGCGATGCTTCCTCATTCCAAAGTTTTTTCCACAATCCCTCCTGTGTTAAATATTCTGAATCTCAGGAATACGAAATTCACTTCACACCGGAAGAACTAGGATCAGCTGACCCGATTGTTGCCCCCGAAAAAAAGAGTTATCTCTCAACAAGATATCATGTCATGTTATCCGAGAGGAGAATGTCTCTCGGACCACTGGAACATGATGGAAACACGAATTGTCTCTTTCTGCTTTCACATGCCAAAAATATAAGGTCGATTGATGTCATCTCTGATGTCTCTTCTTAAAGATCCTACCATGTACTTTCAAAGGAATCAAATTTTGATTTTTGGTAGACCAATTATTATAGGAACCATACCTGTCATAGGCCAGACTCAATTTTCTCCTCAATCCGATACATAATCCTGCTGCATTTCCCCTCCCTGTTCCGGAGTTCAGAGCTCTTTTCGATCATTCTAGATGACGTGAAAACTGCTGCTGAACCTAATGACAAAGATTTAGCTCCCTCACATCTTCTAACATCATCTTCCACCCATAAATAAACCTCTCCAAAAGGTACCACGCGACTTTTTCTTGTTTCCAATTCTAGGTTTCAATTAACCCTGGCCTTTGCCCTATCGAATCGTTTTCAAAACACCAGAAAGCTCCGCCCACTATGTGTGGACGGCGCGTGTTGTGCTCTCAGACTCCGCCCCTTCTACTCACTCTGTCGCCATGTGCCTCCGTGAGCACCGGGGCATCATTGAATGTACAAGTAGCATTCGTTTATTCCGTTCTCCTTTCTTTTACATTTTCTTAGCTTTTTGGGGCGTATCTGCTCGGTGGTTATCTCTCAGCCACCCAAAGTCAGACATCAGAGCTCGAGGCGGTACAGAGAGACAGACTTGTTTGCCTCACCATTCACTCACTTCATTTTTTCAATGTTTTCTTGAGGAATCATGTCAGAATATCAAAGAAGCTCTTAGCCTCGAGGGTCCTTATTTGGGTCGATTCCACTTCTTATTATTTTTGAGATTGCTTGTTTTGATCTCGTTTGTTTGGAACTTATGTGAGGTCAGAATTTTCAAAGTGTCATTTCTACAGTAACCCTACCCTCTCTCCCATGATCCTGCATTCCCTCTGTCAACGACCCAATTAAGTCTCTATTATCTTCTTCCATTAGAGTCATCCATCAAAACTTCATCCAACTGTTTTGCAGCACCCCTCCTTCTAATGAGCTCTTTTACCCATTTTCAGATGGTTCGTGCGTTTTTTGCCGCCGCCCTCATCCATCCTATCATCTCGTCCTCCTTCTGCATTTCACTAAATGATGTCAAGCACTTGTCATAAACCCGTCCTCAAATAGCTCTCGCTTCTTTTTTTTGTGTGTTTCTCCGCACCCAAAATGCTGCTTTGAGACCTCTCCCTGAAGGCATTTCGATTCTTCAAAAAACTTGCTCTTCCAGCTTCCACACTTCTTCTTGGTTTCCTCAACAAAATGAGCAACGATCCTCGCCGTGTGTCGCTTTTCAACCGTTGGGCTTCTAAACAAAACAACGAGCCGGTCTCTGGATTTGAAGGGCTCAACGAGGAGGAGATTATGGAGTACAAAGCCGCTTTCAGGCTTTTCGACAAGGTATTATTTTCAGATGATTGATTATCCTAGTTTTTTTTTCTCATTTTAGGATGGTAACGGCTCTATCTCTTCAAAGGAATTGGGAGTTGCAATGCGCTCTCTCGGACAGAATCCAACTGAGCAGGAACTTCTTGATATGGTTAACGAGGTTGATATTGATGGGAGTGGAACTATTGATTTCGGAGAGTTCTGCCAGATGATGAAGAGAATGAACAAGGAGAACGACAGTGAGATGATTCGTGAAGCCTTTCGTGTCTTCGATCGAGATGGTAACGGATTCATCACTGCCGACGAGTTCCGTTATTTCATGACCCACATGGGAGACCAGTTCAGTGACCAAGAAGTGGATGAAATCATTGCAGAAATTGATATTGATGGTGATGGACAGGTGAGAAAATAGCTAATTCATTCGCAAAAAAAGCTCATCCCATATTTACAGATCGATTATGAAGAATTCGCCTCAACCTTCTCCAGCTAAGTCTGCTATCCTGTACAAAATATTCTGCAAACAAAATGATTTCCCGGGTCCCAATTCTAAATCCATAATTCCACCGAATCTCTCTCTCGCTTTTGAAATGATGAAAATGACTGTCAAGCTTATTTGTCCCATTTGATTATTCAGCTCTCTTCCTTCGCTTTTACTATTACGCCACCATCATAAATTAATTTTTACAACTTTGTGATATAATCCGACTCTCTATCAAACAATCGAGTCAGTAGAAATACGTGTGACAAGCGATGGATAGCCCAATCCTATCAATCAAGCGACGCACATTCCAACAGCTTGTGCTCTCATTCATTTCCCTCGTCTTTTTCCCGTCTTATCCCCACTGCGTGTGTTACAATCAATCGACAGAGACCGGTGGTGGTGATGATGAGACCGTTAAAAACAACAAGACTCTACTTTTTAGTTATTCTTACCCAAAGGGACGAGTAGAGAGTTGCGAACAGAGCAGATAGATAGGATACTGTAACGAGACGTCTCTGGGGTGAGGCCAAGTGTGTTATGTAGGATTTGGGTCCGAGCAGGAATGCAAAACTGAAATAAATAATTTTTGGATGAAACTCATTATTCAATATTAACCTCAAAAGCATGAGCACAGATCCAAGGGTGTTTAAAGCAGCAAACTTTCTTGTCGACACCAGAATCACTGGGATAAGTACGGCTGCCTGAAATAAAGACCGTGTTTTATTGCTCAACTTTTTCATGTTTTTGACCTCAGTCAACGGTCATGGTATTGGGTCTCGATGGAAAAAAAGCAGCCGATAACGTCTCGGACGGACAGCCGCTAGTCTCATAAAGTGAGGGTGGGAAGTCAAATAGTACATGGAGACGAGAGAGTCAGACGCCCAGTTTAATGGGATCCACATTTTCAGGGGTAAAAATGTGTTGGAGACATTCAACAAATGGGTTTGGCGGAGAAAGAATGTTTCGAATTGTGTCAAAGGGAAAATGTGAAGAAAAAAAAAAGAAGAAGAGCTTACTGTGGAAAAGCAAAAAATCGCTCCAATGATGCACATGAAAAAGGCGATGACTCGTTGTGTTCTTGTCATTCCAAACATACTCTCATCTTGGGTTGATGAAGTGAACCATCCAGAGTTCTTTCTGTAATAATGTTTATAAATTTTGGGTTCACTGAAATTAATACATTCCTCAGATTTGCAAACATGTTTTTTTTTCAATAAATACTAAATTAGCTAGAAAACGACATGACAAGTTTCGTAGATATACTTCGAACGTTGTTGAAGGATGGGTACTTCGAAAGACCCAAAACAAATTCGAGAAACTTCTTGGCATTTAGCTATAGAAGAGAACCAACAAGTTTTAATCAACAAGTCTGATTCTCACAAATCTTCAAAAATTTATAACAAATTTTTTTTTCAAAATACCCCTATTTGATTATATACCGTAAAACCTATAATAGAAGGGCTTCCTAACTTACAACTTTGAAAAAATTTATCTCGATTCCTGTCACAGATATAAAAAAGTTCTCAACTAAAAAAATCGTTCTTCATAATATTACAAACATTTTACCCGTTGTCGGATGTCTGGCATCTTGCATAATAGCCAAGAAAAAATTAGCTTAAACTTGAGAGTTACTGTCAGACAGTGGGGGTCTTTGGTTTTATGGTATACGATACTATTGATACGCGGTTCATTTTCAATTTCGTGTTTTCTAGAATTCAGAAATTCAGAAGTTCAGAAATGCGGAAATTCAGAAATTCAGATGGATTTTTTTTCAGAAAAAAACTAGTGGAACACATATTTAGCTAGTTAAATTTCAGAGATCAGATTAATAGCCGGTATGCAGAATCGGAGCTATGACAGAGGAAATTTGGTGACAGCAGTCGAAATTTTTGCTAATTAGTTCGGCTGCCGAACTAATTAGCAAAAATTTTTACTTTTTCATAAATTTCAGATTTTCTCGATTTTCGTCCGCTTTCCGGCACTTTTTAGAAGTAGAAAATATTTTCCAACTTGTCTGGAGGGTTTCAATGCAAGCGTTATCGAAAAGCAATTGTAATTGAGAAGAAAAAGACCGGAGATTTTAGGTTACGGCGGTTTTCGTTACGAGGATCATTGGCCACACCTCTAAGCTTTTTTTTCCAAAGCTCCAATTTTTCTATACCAAAACAATGTTGAAAATCTTACCTATTTCTTGAAGTTGGTAGCTGGCCATCTCCCGAGTCGTCTCCCACGAGAAGTTGTTGGCTATCGGCTGTTTCACTCCGAGACAGTAAAGAGAACCCTCTAAAAAGATAATCGTCCTTTTTTTTATTGAAATAAGATAGCTCACCCTATAGATGTGGGAAGCTTGTTGCGTAGGGAGTCAAGAGAGGAAAATGAAGCAGATCCACTTATTCCACTCCCTTTTTTCTTCTGGTCATTGATAAACTGCTCAAGAGCAGACATGCTCTGGAATTCGACGGTCTTGCGACAATTGAGAATGTTTATCATCCAGAAAATTTCACAGGTCAAATACCTTTTTTCATTAACATTCACACTCTTGGAAAATCGAATTTAATGGAGTTTGAGAACTACATACAAAAAAAAATAACTGTAGACTAAACAAAATTGGCTCGTGAGTTGAATGAATCTAATGATGAGCATCCCAGGAAGTCGTTCCGTGAGTCTTGTATTGGTAAGCTTCTTCGACGAGGATCAAAGCGGCGGTGAATGCAACTCCAGCCTTCCATCCAGGAAGAATCAGCTGAAAATATTGACTTTATAGACTGGACTCGCCGAAAGTCATAGATCTTTGAAGCAAAATGTTCTAACAGATATTCCAATACTATTTTCATAAGGACGCACATTTTTGAAACAGGCATTCAAACCTTTTTCAAGCAACGGACTTACCTTCTTGAAATGCGCCCATTGTCCAACAACATGAGGATATTTTCGATCGTACAGGTAGACGTAGTTTCTAAAAAACGATCAGTAATAAGATTTAATAAGAGACCCCGGCCCATGTTAATCCGAACCTGATCCACGGATCTTTCAGTCCGATTTGAGCGAGCCGCTTTTCATGTTGGGCGAGCTGTGGAAAATCACGATAGTTGCTGTAGATTGAGTAATTTGGGATCTTGAACGGCTCGTGATGTCCTCCACCCATTCTGAAGCAAAAATTTTAAATGAAAACAACGCCGTCTGAAAACTAGAAAAAGAAGGTGAAATCCGCAAAATGCCAGCCGAGTTGGTGTCGATTTACGGGGTGAGAAAGCGCGCGCCACTTGCGTTTTCCATCGAAACGCAACCGCGGCGCACTTTTTCGATCAATTGCCAGGGAAATATTGGCTTGTTCCAACACATCACTTTTGTTCTTCCCGGATTTTTCAGACTTTCCTTATTTTTCCGGTGTTGACTGTCAAAACAAGCCAAAATGTCGAGACGAAATCAAAAGGTGAGTATTTTATGTAATTTCAGTTAATTTACAGTTTGAAAATCAGACTGTTCCCTCCGAAGATGCAATAAAAATGACAAAAGAGCAAGAAGATGTCGCCAAGTACATCAGATTCAATTGTCCAACTGCCACAACGATGTTCGAAGGAAATGAAGTTCATTACTTCAGTGGTTCGCACTTTCTGTTTGAAATAACTGAATATTGAACGATTTCAGGAAACAAAGCTGTTGATACACTGTGGGACTCTAAGTATGGAAATAAGGCAAAGAAAGATCCAATGTTCAAAACAAGGTAAACAAATACCGTCTTATAATATTTCCATGAACATCACTTCTTTTCAGAGACGACTGCTTTCATTATATCTGCGAATTGAACTCGAAACAGCTCTTCTTCCGTGCCAAAAAGTTGGTTGCCAAAAAGAAGGAAAACAAAGAGAAAGGAAACGATTCGTCTGGTAAGTTTTGACATTTTTCAATGATTCTTCAAAATGAAATTGTAGCTGAAGTAACAAAATCCCCAAAAGGAACCGTTGAGAAAAGAAACAAAAATAACAAGGAAGAGGAAACAGCAACTGAAGCTGAAGGTGATGAAAAAGAAATGAAAAAGGACGACAAAAAAGACGAAGAGAAGAAAAAGAAGAAAGTTAAACTGTTGGTACATGAAATTCAATCCTTCGTAGACGATAAAGACGTTTATGTTTGGGTGTTCGATCCAACTCCACTAATGAAGAAGGTTATTGGAGTTCTTATGTGTAAGTTTATGGAAATCAATTTTCTCAATTTAAAAACAAATAAATTCAGTGGTTGGAACGATTGTCGGTTGCCTCTTCCCACTCTGGCCAGCCTGGCTTCGTCAAGCAGTTTATTATATATCGATTTCAGGAATCGGTATTTTTGCTGCAATTATTGTTACTGCTATTCGTAAGTTGATACCAGTTATATCCTGAGTTTTTTGGCTTTCTTACAGTCCGTACGATATTATTCGGAATCATCTACGCCGCCACATTCGGAAAGCATAAACTGTGGATCTTGCCAAATCTCACCGAAGATTGTGGAGTTTTGGAATCTTTCCAGCCATGGTACACCTATGAGTACTGTGGAGATGGGAAGAAGAAGGACGACAAAAAAAACAATAAAGACAAAAAATCAAAGAAAGAGAAAGATTCTGATGCTGAAGATGAAGAAAAAAAGCCGACTACGGAGCCAAAAGAGAGCGAAGTTGAAGATAATGAAGATGCCGAGAAGTACAGTCAAGCATCAACAGACGAAAACTACGAGAAAATTGATGATGAGGTAAACTTAATTACATACTTTCCTGCGTAATTATAAGTTTCCAGGAAATTTCCGCACCACCATCACCAAGTGAAGGTATTGCTCGAAAGCGACGCCCGGCCAAAGTTTGATCTAGTAACTGAATCTTCAATTCCCATTCCATTTTTCTGCATTTATGTGAACTCTTCTTCTAATAATCTCTTGCATTTCTCTCCCCAACTATTGGTTCGGTTGAATACCACTCTTGAAATTAGTTTTTTTTCCTCACTGTGATTTTCCCTTCCTTGTCTAGCAGCACCCTCTCAGTCTGTCCTCGCATAAATTATAAGTTTTTCTGTCCTGTATTTTTGGTACATAATAAATGTCAAACAAGAGTTTGCCTTCATATAAATTGGTTCACACAATGGTACGAATAATCTGAAGCATGCCAAATAAACTTAGAAATATGGATAGCAGGGAAGGAAATTTGGTGAACCCGTGTAGATCAACACAATTCTGACTTTGACTGATGGAACAAGAAAAAACGCGATTAAAGAGATAGACATCACATCAGAAGGACGCGGTTAAAACATGACTTGTCTATTGAGTGGAATTATGAAAATAGACTATTGAGGCCTTGTTTGTGATAGCGTTGGCCACTGGTTTGTTGTCATGGGATGAGCACCTAGGATACCGGCGCCAGTGTTTGGAGGCATGTTACCAGCTTGTTGTTCTCGAATCGCATTCACTTGACGAGGTGGACACCTGTAACTGATTGATAGAACGTTTTTCTCATACAGAAAAAAAATTTTACCCAAAAGGAACAGGGTTTTGTCCAACCTGTTGATGAGCAGGGTTTAACTTCTGCGAAGTGTTTTGTCCAGATTTTGCTTGTTTATTCGGCTGCCTTCTTCCATTGTTCATATTACTTGGAGATTGAGCAAATTGTCCATTTTGTTGCATCTGTCTTTGACCATAACTTTCATTTCTATTCGAATAGTTTTGGGCAGAGTTAGGAGGACATTGTGCCATATAAGGTGCGTTGGGAACGTTTATAGAGGCCCCTGTGCTTACAGGATACATCATTGGTTGCCGGTTTTGTCCCATAGAGCAATTGTAGCCACGAGATGTTCCGTTTTTCATTTGATACGGATTCGACATTTGACCGGTCGCTTGGGACTGTTGCTGCTGTTGAAGCATCGGAGGATGGTGCATCTGATTCACCATGTGTTGATTCGATTGTCCTTGCGATTGAAAATTAGGGGGAGGGTACGCCGTATTCCGTTGCATGTAGGCCTGAAACAGAAGCTGCTTAAGCTTTTTTAATTGTAACACTTGAGGAGATAAAAAATTATGAACTAATTATTACCATTTGCTGTGGTGTTGGTGGCGGTGGAGAGTAATAGAATGCCTGCTCGTTGTGGCCATCCATGAAACTATTTTGAGGAACCGAGGACGGGTCTTGTGGCATATACTGGTTCCCTTGGAACTGAGAAGAGTACGGCACTTGCATTTGCTCATTCTGCATAAAATATTGCCCATCTATGAACTGAGTATTTTGTGGAAAATTATGTTGGAAGTTTGTTTGTCGTTGCTGAAATCCAGGCGGGGCATTGAACATTCCATTCTGTTGACTAATACATGGAGGAGGTTGCTGTAACATAAATTGTTTATGGGAGAATAAAAATCAAGCAGTACCGAGAAGTCTGGAAGCAATATAACATCAGCAGGAGGCATCTCAGGTTGGTGCATCAACTCACGACTAAGCTCTTCGCCATAGTGTTCAACCATATTTTGTTGGGTCATTTTGAGTGTTTCAGGAGACTTGGACCGGTCGATAAATTTGATTTCTTTTATTTCTTGATTATCCGGTTTGTATTCCGACCCTAAAATACGGTTTCTAGCCGCTTGATAGGCTGCTTGCCGTTCCTCATATGTCTGGGCTGGTTGCTTCGGCTCCTGTTGATGGGATTTCTGATGTGATCGACCGCGTGGAGCTTGGTGACTTTCCGATGATGTAGCTGCTGGCGGTGACGCTTCGATGACATTTTCATTGGAAAAACCATCTTTCGGTCGCCGAAGAAAAACTCGTTTAGGTTCCTCAACACATGGTCCAAGTCCTTCTTCCGTTTTTATTCTGAAAACAAAAGAGATGAACGTGCGAAAAACTCAAAACCAATCTTACTTTGGAGTTGGATTGATGCTTTCCTCCGCTTTCACTTTCTCAAAGTACGCTTCTTTTTTCTCCTCCTGTCGTTGAAGAAGTTTCACCTGAAATAGAGAACGAAAAAATAAGTAACAATGTTTTTCTCTTTACCTTTTCAACCTTTTCCATGAGCTCTTTGACTGGATCCGCGTCGGCATCTTCCCAGCTATCAGCAACCACTAAAGCGACTATAAATTCGTGCAAAACTTTGAAAAACCGAAACATACCATTTTCTTTACTCATAATTTGACTAGAATTGATGCAAATTTATATACCCTGAATATAAAAAACACAGATCAATATAAGAGCTACGGGCGGGTAAGTAAAAGAAGTGCGAGAGAAACAGTGGTCCGTTTCAGTGGCGAGCTATTTCTCTTTCGGCGCGCAAGATGCGCCAGACGGAGTCATCAAATGCGCCAAGTTGGGCATGGTGCATTATTGGAGACTGATAAACGGCGCGAAGTTCAAAAATTGTTTTGTTAGAAAAAGTTTCAATTCCATCTTCCAATAGAGGAATTTCAGGAACAAAGAGACAGAAAACAATTGTTCAAAGCTGAAAATCAATAAAATGAATTTTTCAGAATGGAATCCAAAATAATAAACTGTTTTACAAGCTCACTACTGGATCTTCAGTTGTCCTGATAATGGAACAGGGATTCCATAAAAGTAAAATTGAAAAAAAATCTGAAAATAGTTATTTGTTAATATCTCTTATGTTATAAATTTTTTGGACCACTCGGCGTTGTTGTCCATGATAGACACAAATTAAATCACCTGGACCCTGTAAATCACATTTCTAACACCCTGATCATGAAACCACTATTTCGGAGCCCATCTTTCTCAATTTGATAAGAGCATTACTCGTGGAACATGTGCATGAGCGCGCCGAGATGGCAAACTGATAACACAAAATCAATTTGTGACTGAAAACCGACACCACCTCGCAAACTTTAAGACGGAAATGCAATAAAGTGAATCATGTCGGTGGTTTCTGGGAAGGATCGTCCTATGTAAGTTTAGACCTTCGGGAAATTAAAATGTACTGTTATTTTTAGATTAGATGATTCCAACTACGGAGATGACGTATCCATAATTGATAGATCTGAAAATGTAGATGTAAGATTTTGAACCCATTTTTGTAACTTTTCTAAAATTCTAAAATTTCAGTGGACCAAAATTATAATCAAAATTTGTCTTGGCTTGCTTTTCATTGGATTTGCTACCGGATGCATCATCTACTCCGTTATCACTTGTCAGTTTTTCATTTTATTGAATTCTTTTTGAAGGTACATTTTCAGCTAAGGAAGACGAGCATGTGTCTACCAATTCCACATTTTTTGTCTTTGACGTCAGTCAACACTGTGATAATGGCACGTTGACATGGACAAATCGAACAGGATCAGTCAATGATTACGATGTGAGATTTCAAAAAGAGTCATGAAAATATTCATAAGAGCGATATTATTCAGAAAGTTTCAACTGGAATCGCCTGGCTCCAAGATTCGCAAAGAAAACGACTGTATCATCGGATTGGAATCGCTTCAGATAATAAGGATTGGCTCGTTACACATTATGTTTTCATGTAAAACTTTTTGGGCAACAAATTGCTCTGAACATCGTTTTTCAGGAATCACACATTCTTTGTGGATCGCAATGGATGTTCGAGAGTCACATATGGTTATGATGAGTATTTGCACAGGTTTGAAACAACTAACTTCAGAATACCCCCAAATTTGTTAAAACTCTCAGAATGGGTTTCCAAAACATCACCATGCAACGTACGGAATCTATTGGACTCGAAGGAGAACAAAGTGTAAAAGTGAACTTTTTCGAAGGAGAACCAGCTAAGGACATCCTGATTGAAGGAATGCATCCAGCGATTGTTCGTGCTTACGCTCACCCTGACAATAGTCAGTTATTATTTTTTTTTTTGAATCATTCGATCCAATTTGCAAAATTTCAGAATTCGCTTATGCCTGGGAGTACGTCTTCGCAACGAACAATCAGGATCAAACTGGACTTTTCCGCAAAGATTATTGGTTCCCTGACATGGAGCCAGGAGTGGATGATGAAGGAGTATTCGAAGAGCTACCATCGTCATGCTACAAGCAAACAACCTAAATAGACTATAAAATTCTATATCCAATAATTCTTCCTATGTACATCCAATGAATGATTGTTACTTAAATTTTATTAAACGGAAAAACATAACGTTAGAATTGATGATTCATGGCCTTCATTCAGAAGTTGGAGACTGGAGAACCATGAAATGCACTTTTCTACCCAAAGAGTGGAATTCTGAAGGCAGGGGAGTCGATAATAAATTCATATTACTATTAAACCGCTCTAAAAAAAGGGAGAAAGGAGAAGAGTAAAAAGAAAACAAAAAATCAACGGACGGATGGAAGACGTATAGATTAATGGGGGGACAGTAACCTATAAATGATAGGAACAGACTAATCCTAAAAACTAAGGGGTAGGAAAAAGTGGATAACAACTATGGGGCCGGTGGTTTGAGAAGAAATGGTTGTAGAGAGAATTAAAGAATACTTCGTCGAAGTGTCAACAGATAAACAAGAAGACAGTGAGCAATCAAATTAACCAATGATGAGTCCGATTCCGAACTTTCCTGCAGCCTTTACATGATTGAGAGTACCCGAAAGTGCCAAAGTGAATGGAAGTTGTTGACTGAGACGTTTCTCGAAAACTCCGCCGACAGACCTGAATGAATAAATTTCTAAATTATTTTTTCAAATGAATTCTAACCAGTTGGTATCGAAGCTAGCTCTCATTGTGACACCTTCTTCTGGAAGTTCTGTCTGGTAGGCGAGAGTGGTTACGGCTTCTCCGACGTTGGCGTTGCATTCGAATTCAACTCCAAAAGCCAAGTTGTCGTGCTGTTTGTGATAATAAGTTAGATGAACTCCTGGAAACATGAAGAACTATGTATGAATTCTGAGTAGAATATATACCGGAAGCTCCGAGAGTAGCAGCGGCGATGAAGTGGTTGGCTGTGTATCGAGCGGCATACGAGAGAACTGAGATCTGACCTCCTGAAAATGAAAACTATGAAATGTCAAACTGCCATGAAGCCAACCTGGAATGTTTTTTCCATACTGATAGACCATCTCGGTTCCGACATCGAGACGTGGGGTTAATCTTCGGAGAAACTGTCCTACCAAAATTCCAGCTTCATTGACGAGATCAATGTTAGCCAGTGTGAGACCCAAAGTGCTGAGACGACCCTTTCGTTCGATAGTAGCTTGTGCTCCTGCCAACTTTCCTTGTTGAATCTGTCCTTGCAGCTTCGTCCGATAGATACCTGAATATTTCATGTCCTAAAGCTTCCAGATCGGAGAACACTAACCCATCTGGTGAAGAATGGTGGCAGTCGTGTTTCCGTTCACATCAGTGTCACCGAGAAGAATTGGGTATGCTTCCGCTGGTCCTACTTGATTAGTTCCGACGTAGGTAGCTCCAAATCGATATCCAGTATTCATTGCAGACAAAGAAAGAGTGTGAGAGACCTCAAAAACGAAACTCTTAAACAGCCATTTTGATAAGAGGGATACCTGGAAGTGAGAGCTGAGACCTTTGTTGACCATGAGTTTAGCCCCTTCGAAGCATGTTGGGAACACATCACGAGCTTTGCGATGAAGCTCTTCGTAAGAACCCGGATTTGTTTGAGGAATAGGGGCGGCGAACTCGCTTTCTGTAGGTGTCGCCATCTGAAATGAACATTAAAATTTAGCTTGGGAGATAAACAGGAACAAGAGAAATTGAGACAATCGGTCAAAAGAAATAAATGATGTAATTATTTTCAATGAGCCTAAACCATGAGAATAGCAATTTATATCGTTGAAAATTGAGTTCAGAAAGATTTCAGTTTATTCCTGACACCTTAGAAAGTCAATTACACAAGTAATATCAGCGAAATCCTGAAGCAGCTCAAAAATCATTATTTTCTTTGAAAAAATAATTGTTCGCAGCGCGGCTAAACAACGCGCGCTAGCGTTATGCCGGAGTGTCGTTGTCATTTTCAGGAATGAGTCAGTTTGTGGACAATACAGCTGGATATTGGAATAGACTCTTAGATTTATAGGGTTGTCCCAGGTTTTTGATGCCATCGAATTTAAATGTGCTATATTTTGCATAACTAAAATTCGATTTTATCATTAACACAGAAGTAATCAGCGGCGAAGTTTTCTCTAATATGTTTGGGTCCAAGATTAACCTTCCCTCATTCTATACTAGATTCTTATTCAGTTTATAAGGTTCTTTCATTTAGAAAATCAAATAGATGCTCAATCTGAAACTGAATCCGATCCAGAATTGATTTTTATAACTACTGTGAAACCTAAACACTTGAAATGTACTTGAATTGGTTGGTTAAAGTATGATCCCGGTTGGTTAAAGTAAAAACCCCCAACCATTCGAAAATAGCCCCCCAAAAGGGGAACCTTATCTGAGCCCCCCACTCAATTCAAAAATGACCCCCCACCAATTCAAAAATAGCCCCCACCCGTTCAATTTTAGACCCCCACCAATTCAAAAACAGCTCCCCACCCATTCAATTTTAGACCCCCACCAATTCAAAAATAGCTCCCCACCATTTTTTGGCCTAAGCCTGAATTTTAGAATGTTTCAATTTTTGATAGTTCTGATTAGATATGATATGATTGAAAAGTAACACAACATTCCTATAGAAACGAAGCAAATAACCGAAAAATAAATTTATTGGTTTAGAAAACAAATAATTTAAGTGAAAAAAACACTTTAAATGAGATCCGAACGAGAACAGAAAATGAAGAAGAAAATTAAAATACAAAAGATCAAACAATTTTCGATTTCTTCTGGTTCAAAATTTTTCCGAAAAATCCGTCTTTTTCGTTTTCGCGAACAACAAACTCTGAGATGTAGCTGTCCAATAGCGGTTGACTTGTGCCTTTTCCGGATTTGAAAGGAGCTTTTAGGCGGCTCCACATTGCCTCCACACCATTCGTGCAGACACGACGCGATCCAACCAGACTGAAATGATTTAGTACTGCACACATTTCAAGCAAAAACTTACTTTACAAATTGTATCTTATGGCAACAGTATAATGTTCGGAGAAATTATGCTTCAATTGTGAATAACTTCTCCACTCATCACTATACACGGTTGAATGTTGATCTACCGATGCTTGCAAAATCGGAACGAGAGTTTTCGCTGTGCGATTAGGAACCCTTTGAGCAAAGACCAAAGGGTAAATTGGTTTCATCGATTTCCACAATATGTCCGTTTCCTCCCAACTTTCCATACGTGCTTTCAATCAATGTGCATATCTTTCTCACATAGTTCCGCCAATCACAAACAGTTTGTTCCGAAATTTTGACTTCATTTGATCTGTTTGGCCGAATATTTTTGAGTCCATAGAACAATGACTTTGATAGATTGGAGAAGAGTCAGTTTTGTTTTGGAAAAAAACGATCCGTCACGGATGCTCTTGCTCGAACAGTCTTCACTCTTTGAAGTTCTGCATCGCCACTAAAAAACCAAGAAAAATGAAAAAAATAAGCTCAAAATTTGCATCATGAAGGCTACGACACCCTTCATACACCACAAACCACGCAAAAGTGGGGATCTATAATTGAATTGTTGGGGGACTATGTTTGAATTGGAATAGACCCTTTAAAAGTGGGGGGGGGGCTATATTTGAATGGGTGGGGGGCTATATTTAAATGGGTGGGGGACTATATTTGAATTGGAATAGACCCTCAACTATAGTTCATTTTGGGGGGCTATACTTGAATAGGGGCGGGGCTATATTTGAATTCTGCCAAAACGCTTTCAACGGATGAATTGCTTATCATAATTTCACAAAAATATCATCAGTTACACATTTATGATATCTCGCATGGGAGCCAAGAAAAATCAGCAGACAATGGACAGTGCAAGGAACCTTCTATTATGTTTTATGGTATTTCATTTATTTCTATGCCAAAATCCAATTTTCCGTGTTTCTCGGAACTCTCAGATGAAAATTAAAATCAAGGTGAAAGTTTATCAAGTTTGAAGAAAATGAGCTTATGCAAGTTGGCAATGCGGAAAAGAGACGGAAAGAAACAAGTAGAGAAGAAAGAGAAAAATAACAAATTCAATCACTATGAAAGAAAAAACCCATAAGCAGATGGTCCGGGAGCACTATAAATAGGGAAAGACAGTTGTAGATTTAAAGTATCAGAGGCCGGACTAAGTGGATCACTCGGAGTGTACTGAAGATTGGTATAGATAAATTATCTGGAGGGAAAAATTGAAAAATAATTAAGAAAAATGAAAAAGAAAGGAAAGACATAATACTGATTTTTGGAAGGTGGAAAAATATTTTTAAAAAATAAGACAAGAAAAATAAGAAAAGTGACTAGAAAAGGAAGAAGGTAATAAGAATGGAAATAAAGAATGGGATAAGAGATAATCTATTGTTTGCAGCTTTCCGACGACAACCATTCAGATACATGTGGCATGGGAAACGTCGATCTGTAATTAGAAATATCAGAAGTTATATATAAAAGCTATAAACCATCTTCTTCATCTTCCTCATCTTCTTCCTCGTCGTCCGAGTCCTTTGCTCCTTCTATCCTTCCCCAATCAGTTTCCATAGCTACTTTAGTATCCGTATACATTCGAATCTTTACTCGATAATCCGTGCCGGCACGCAGGATTCCATTACAATACGGTTCATCTAGATTCCTTTTCACACAATCATCAGTTCCAACAGTGAACGCTGCTCGTCTGACTCTTTCCGAATCAAACGGATTCCACGTGGATGGAGAAGCACGATAAGCGCCCCAAACATCCTCATCTTTAACCTCGAACCATGACTTGAGTTCGTAGTTATCGTCGTTCAAAGATGTGTCATCCGATACAATGATAGCAAAATTATCAGGAGATCCATTGAGCAATGAGAAAACAGATAAATCATTGTCAAATCCAACAACAAGTTCTCGACTTCCTTGTCGATGAATTGATGGTTGAAGACGTCCTTTTGGAATCGCTACCGTATCATTTCAGATTCACTTTCCGCTGCAGCTTGGCCGATTCCCATGATGACTGTGATAGTGAAAGTGTAGTATACTTCAGCTTTGAGACCTGAGAATCTATGTCGACTAGCTCCTTTCAATTCTACAGACACTGTTGGAATATTGTCCGCGTTATAACTGAAATAGAACTTTAGGAGTGAAGCGGTACTTGTTGGTTCTCACCTCAGTCTGAATCTACAATCCGAGTCAGCAAAGTTCTCAATATCCCAATACAAAACTACGTAATCCTTTCCGACAACAGGGAATAATTGATTCACTTTCAGAGGATCTGAAATCACATTTTATCATATTTAAAAAATCATATTTTATGACGGTCCATACATGTTGTGATATCAGCTGATACCGGTCGACTCTTGACACCTTTGTAAACTGTGTACACCGAGAATTGATAAGTCTTTCCCGGAATCAGTTTAGTGAATGTAAAGGATTTTCTGGAAAATGAAGAGTGTAAATTATAACCAGAACCTTTTACTAACTCATGTTCCATTTCAACTTTTTTAGAAATGTTCTTGTTGTTCCCACTGAATGTCAAGAGATAATAATCAAATCTTCCTTGTTCTGGGTCCGAATCACCAAAGTTGATGTTAATAGAATTCGAAGAAATTTGACCTGGATACACTGTTGACGAGATTATTGGAGCTGAAATTTAAAAAAAATTAATGTCTCGGTATAATTCGAATGTTCTAACCGGTGACTTGTTCCAACTGCGTTGCCTTTGAAGTAAGGGATAGTTCAGTTGAAGCATTCCTTACAGAGATGGAGTACTGATTAGACGGTTCCAACTTATCGAGCAAAACAAACTCTTCCTTATTGGTGACCTCCATTTCTTTGCTGTCCGCCCTTCCTATCCCATAAGAAATCACAATTTTGTATCTCTCAAAGTCATGATAAACTGGCCAATCCCACATGAGTTTGATGCTTGCTACGTAGAACTCATCCGTGTTAACTTCGGCAACTCTAGCATTCTCCAGTGCCTTTGGTTTTGAAAGATGAGCAATCCGATGGGCCCACCATGTCTTGCTCAACGCGCCGGCCAGCATACAGAAGACTCGAATATCCAAAGTGTGCTCTGGGAACATTTTGATATTCGCATGCTCATCAGAAGTGGCCAAAGAGAAAGATCGTGGTCGGCTGAGAGTGAGAATAGTGTAGTTTACAAAGAAGGCTTCACAGTTGGCATTCTCAGGAGCTTCCCAGTCGAGTCTCAACATTTCATTCTCATTGGACAAGTACACTTCTGATGGGTGACCGTATTCTTGAAACATTTCCGATAGATCTACCAGCGCATTTGAGTTCTAAATATCCGAGATTATTAGGTTTGGAAAAAGTGTTAAAACTCACTTCAGTTGGATGATCTTCTCCTAAATCCCCCGAGTTCACCTCAACTGGAGCAGCTTTCGGTTTAAAGCTGGTTGTTGTAGTTGTTATTCTAATTGTTGTTGTAGCCTCAGTTGAAGTTGTAGTGGAAGGTGGAATAGTTTCAGTAGTTATTGGATTGGTGGTAGTTTGTTCCAATTTGGTGGAAGTGAAGAAAGAAGGTTCTGGAGAAGACGTCGTGGTAATCACGGAGACCAATGGAGCTGAAAAATTTAAAAATTGAGAAATATACCTACAGTAAACTCTTACTTGTAATAGATGGTTCCTCTTCGACTTCCTTCGAATACTCGTATGATGTCATTTCTGTAGTTGTTTGCAAACCAAGATTGAAATTTGGAGGTAAAGTTCGAACACTGTACAATTCTGCAGATGACGAGTAGTCATAGTTGGCTGTTCCTTGAGTGACAAAAGTCGAATCGATGAGTTCTTGAGAGAAAACTCCCTGATAAACTGATCTGATTCGAAGCCGAAAAGTTGTTCCAGAATCCAAACCACGAAGTCTTACAAGCGATGCTTTTGTGTCGATTGCATTTGAATACTCTTTATGTTCTTCTGGATAGTATTCTATGTGATAAGTGATATTTTGTCCCTGTGGTGGAAAATAGGAAATGGTTGCTTCATGTTCAGTGGTTTCAATTGAGTCAAGAGTTGGAGCATCGGGACCTGAAACACTTCAATTTCAATTAAATCTGCCATATCCCTGTTACAAAAGTGGCACATGTTTATGTTGGACTACGCTCAATGAGCTTCTTTTTTTCCTCTGACCACACACACATTTCGCCACCGTTGTAATCCGGTTAGGCGGAGTGTGAACACGATTTTCGCTGCTATTGGGGGGACGATGCCCTCCTGTAGATCACTTTGTGTCAACCGCAAGCATTTCTCGCTTTTTCTACTGCCTGTGTTTTTTGTATTCAAAACAAAGTTTCATGGAGTTGGGCAAGGGCAAAGTTTGACAATTGAATACGAATATGGATACTGTAGATTGAATTTAACTTTTTAAGTTTTTTTAAGTTTTACCGAAGAAGGAGACTCTAGACTCTACTTTTACAATGGAATACGAAATGAATAAGAAACTAAATAGCTTCTGATAACATTAACAGGGAACTTAGACTTCGTGAAGCTCTGAAAATTTCTAGATCAAAATGAAAAGATATTGAAAGCATTAGACTAAAAACGTATAACAAGTAGTGATTTTCAAAAGTTTTAATTTTGGGAAAAATATTCCGAAAGTGTTAATATTTCTGTTATTTGTTGAAAAAACACGTTGCTCCCAAAAACTTAACGGTCCATCTTTTGGGAGATTCAAAAGATTCACGTGGCTCACAAAAATTTTTGAAATTTCAGTACTTTGATGTGAAAATTAAAACTTTTGAAATTTACTACTTGTTGTATCGAAAAATTCACTTAGTTTCTTCGGGAGATTAATTTTAAGTAATCATTGCTGTAAATACTGGATTATACAGTGGCAAAGATATTTTTCGCCAGAACCATTATGGTTTTCAGAAAAGTATTGGGTGAAGAATTGGGTAGTTGTAAGAGCAGGAAGATTTGAGCCCATATATCTCTTTTCCTGTGACAGATAACAAAAATATAGTTAATTAACAAATTGTTGCTGAAATTATGATAAATATTTTGTTAGTTGGCAACTTTCTGATATCTTCTACAGGAAATGAGATAATTCAGCTCAATGTAAATGGTTTGGGTGGAATTCTATTAGAGGAAACAGTGTAATCAAGGAGAATATAGAGTTGCATTTAGTTACTGAAATAGGGCCTTACACAAGAAGTGATTTTCAATATTTAGAACTTTCATCTTAAAGCACTCATATTTTTTAAATATTTATGAAGTCTCAATATATTCCACTTACTTTGCAGAACAAAATTAACGTTCAAATTTAGAAACAAAAAGTATCAAAGCTCTGAAAGTCAAATTTTTTGTCCTTTTGGAAAAAGTTAGATTGATCCCTTATCAATTTTTTACATGACACATGCCTTAAACACTCACCACCCAAGCAGCCAAATTTGAGCCCGCATATCTCATTTCCTGTACAAGATATCAAAAAGTTATAAACTGACAAAATATTTATCATAATATCGAAAATATGTTGTCAGTTGACTACTTTTTGATATCTTTCACAGGAAGCTAGGTAAATTGGTTCAAAGTTGAAAGTTAGGAATGACTTTCTATTAGAGTGTTTACGGTATGTGATTTTTGTTTATTTTTTAAATACATGCGGCTCAAAAAGTGAGCAGTGTGGTACAAAATTCAGAATGCAACTCGCTGCACGATAACGAACAAAACATTACAACGAAATTAACTTACTACTAAAGACAGCCAATTCTCCAACATTCTGTCTTGTTCCATCCATCAAAATGGCACTAACCGACACCGTATACTCAGTTGCTGATATGGTTCCATTAATGAGAGAATGGAATGTGGTTCTGAAGTTTTGAACTCAATTAAACTTTTATTTTCGATGATCTAACCCTTCAACTGCGGATCCAGATGGAGGATATCCGACTGGAGGACTGTATTCAATAATATAAGCTTGAGGTGTCGGCTGGATAGCATGGCTGGTGAAGTCGACAAGAATCGACGACGAGGATGCTATCGAGTTGTAGCTAGCCAGTAGAAAGATCAACAAAAACATTCATTCATGCACACCGAGTTGAATCTGTACGTACTGGAAATGATAAATATAACTGGATCAATAAAAGGAAAAGTAAGAAAATATGCGAGCTACGGAGATATATGTGTGAAGAGATACGGTTCGGATACGGGGAATGCGGAGTGCCTATATTTATCCACTCATCAAATAAATATAGCTCTCTTTATCCATCACTCAATTATATCCTTATCGGAAAAGAAAGATAAAAACACCTATTCAGAAAAATCGAGAGCTAGAAAATGAAAGTTTCGAGGTGTGCTAGGTGGAAACTAAAAGTTAAGAAAACAAAAAGTGAGAAGAAATGTTTGCAATTAGTCATTGACCAATGGGTAACTGGATTCCTGGGCACCCCCCACTACTGATTACGTGCTTGACGTCACACGCACGGTAGAGAAAAAAAAACGACTGCTGTGGTTGGAGCAGGCGGCAGAAAACAGGCTTGCCTGACTCCGCGGAGCCACTCGAGCTGCCCTTTTCCACAGACGTACCGGGTGCGCTGGCTCGGGTTTGACACCTTGCCACACACCGATTATTATGAAACATTTCAATTTGAATGTGAGGAATCGGACAAGGGTTCCGGATTGATTTCGAAAAAAAAATAATATAGAAAGAAATGAACAACAACACATTGCAAACATATTGAGCGCTGAGCGCGGAAGTGTTTGTGCTGAGCAGAAGCATGCGATAATTGACATGGATACAATGAGTTAGCACAAGTGGGAGGAAAGAGGAATGTCTCAAGAGAAAGGGCAAACGACAATAGGAAACCGTATCGAATGAAAGGGGGAGGAAGCATCACAAATGAACATGGTGCATAGCAGTTGAGGATCAGAGAGGATTAGGAATACACCGAGAATACTATTACATATTCCGTAAAACTGTATTAGAAAAACTGTATTCGGAACTTCTATTGTTCCAATATCCGGAGGGACCTTCTATTACAGGGACCTTACAGTTAAAGGGGCCGTTCTATTGAACAACACATTTTGAATGGGGCGTTTCTATTTTCCGAACCCCTCTTGTAGATCCCTTCTATTAGAGGAGCCCTTCTAGTAAAGGGGCCTTTTTAATACAAGTTTCATGGTATCTAAAAAGGGAAATATGAGTCATTACAGGATAAATGCAATTCTTTCCCTTCTTTAAATCAAATCATAAAAGTTTTTGGCTATAGATTTCAAGCTACTGATTTCAAGAAATTCAAAAAGTTTCAAATTGAGGTTCAAATTGAATTGAACAGAACTCGAGCTATTCTACAGAACCATAACAAAAATTTGAAAAAAAATGCCGAAATTATAGAGAAAGAGTCACAGAATTCCGATATACCGTAATACCATTACCAGAAGGATTTTTAACTTTGAGCCAATTTATCTCGGTTTCTGTCAAAAATATGGGAAAATTGTCCTAATAAATTGTTGATCATAATATCACAAGCATAACACAAACAGTAGACACATTCTTGGTAGCTTTTACAGGAGTCGAGATATATAGCATCAAAGTTGACGGTTTGGGTAGCACTCTATTAGAGTGTATACGGTAATACTGTAGAATGAGTTAAACTAATAAGTTAGATTTTTACAAAAGTGTTGGTTTTTCGAAAATGCTTCAAAATGGGAAAACCAAATGAAACTCAAAAAACTACAGTAAGATATGGAATTAAACCCAATAAAACGAGACAAGAGGTGAAAAAAAAGCCGTGTTTAACCCTGTCGGAATGAGAAACAGAAGAAGAAGAAGAAAAAGAAGAAGAAGGAAAGTAGAGCGAGTGAGATTCCGAATAAGCTCCGAAAATGGGGAAGAAGAATACCTCGGACTGAGTGCACAAATTAGTGGTGTAAGTTGTGAAATTCGAACTCGAAGAGCAAAAGAAGCGACAAAAGAACGAGCGAGTCGCTGCTCCCCACATGCTGTTCGTATTTTCGGCAATCTCCTCGCCTCTCCTCCCGAGCCCGAATACGACGACGTTTTTTTTGTTTGTGACATTTTTTCAATAGTGTTTGAACAATAGTTGGATGATGAGGTTTCAGAAGCATTAATCGGAAGCTAATCCTGAGAAAGGGGTTCTGGGGAACGGTGACAGTATGCCAGAAGGAAAGTGTTAACAGTTCATCAAGATCTTTTAGAAAACTAGACAACTGATCAGAAAGAGTTTTTTAAAAGAAATCGAAAGTTTCAAGAAGAGTGCATGAAGAGAAATTTGGAAACCAAAAAATGAGACAAAAAGGGGAAACTAGTGGTTAGGGCTAAAGACTTTGGCATGACTGTGAAAGGATCAGGCAGAGGTGGAATAGCAGAAAAGTGGCAAAATACGATTCCAGGGGTGGTGAGAAGCATGCTGATCGGTGGAGACGAAGACACATACCATCCGGTCATTGTTTGCATTTGCAAACACGCCTTGAGCGCACAGTCCCTCAACGGGAGCCGCACGGGAGAGCCCCCGGGAGTAGACGGAGAAGAAGAGTGAGAGGAGAGCACAACTCAGGCGCTTTTGCGTTATTTCGGATTATCGACCCGAACGACACATGTGTTCGGAGCTTAATTCTGTAATTCTGTCTTCTCTGCAAAAAGTGCACAAAAGAAGACATTTGTTTTATTCAAAAACGGCGGGGTGTATCCCCCATACAAATCACAAGTCGAGGAATCAACACAGAGAGAAATGGCATGAAAATCAAAAATCACACAGGAAGGAATCGGGGGTATTAGTCAAGTACAATCAGCTCATTTATCTCTCCGAACGCATGTTCTGATGCCAGAGAATTCAATGTGTCAATGGCTCTTCCTTCTCCAACGACGACTGCTTTTCCACGTTGCAAATTCACTGTACGATGATGGAATGTGGTTGGAAATCTGAAAAATACCAAATGATTTGTATTCCTCTGGTCTAATTTCAATACTTGTTGAGACCGAAATTCCTTAGGTATCGTAGCGAAATTCTTAAACGAGCATGTATGTTTCGTAAATATTTTCTGGCCCATTTAAAAAAATTTTTCTCAACGAATTTCATCGATTATGAACCTTTTTTTTAACAAAAAATGCATCGAAAAATTGGTCAGAAAATAGTTACGTAAAGTACATGCTCCCTTCACTATTTCGCTACAGTACCCGCCCACCGCCGAAATTTTGATCCTTGCTCAAGTTACCTTGTAGACAAACGGTTGACCATCGGATTAAGTCCCCACCCACTGCACATTCTGTCCATGATTCCTTCACGAGTACGATCCTTCAATATTTTAAGTTTTCCGTGTTTCTCCAAAACTTCAGCAAGTTCCCGGCAGCTGAAAAAAAGTTCTACTAGTCACCAGAATCGGACGTCACCAGAATCTACTAGTCACCAGAATCGGACGCATACCTAGACTCGGCTCTTTGGATATTGACACGTAGCAAGTTTTTCAGATCGAATTTATCTCCAAACACCAATTGTGACATGTATTCATCTGGAGTGATTGGTGGTTCAAACTCCAGCTCCAAGTTCTCTTTTATCACATTCCATCCGTGATCGTGAGCAAACACTATGCATGCGCGAATCATATCTGGATGAGGGACATCTCCCATTGGATGCATATAGGCAAGGAGTTGGATAAGAACTTCTCCAGGTATTAAATCTCCTCTGGCACATTCACGATGAAATTCTGGAGTATAACGAGCAATATACTCTCCATTCTGTCCGATGCACAACATTTCTTTTCCGTGGGCTGCCAGAAGACCACTGTTGATGTAGAAAGAGGTACCACGGAATAGGATAGCTGATTTGGTGGTATCTCCGGCCTGGAGGGAAATAGGGTTGAATCAGAAACAGATATGTGATTGTTTACCTCTAGCTCAATGAAGTTCAACTTCTGAGTTGGTGCTTGGAGAGTCGTTGCATCTGGTTTTGCAGTTCTTGCTTTCAAAATTGCTGGGCATACAATCTGAGTGTAGACTTGTCTTCCACAAAAGTTTTCAGGCTCAAACCCAGATTGAATCATTCGATTCCACGTTCCATTTAGAGCAGCTTGGAATGCGAGCTCACGGATTGCAGGCTCCAAACGATTTTCGATGGCTGCTTGGAAGCGTTGAAGGAATGTCATCTGAAATTTTATTGAAAATTATATAGTTTAAAAATGTTTGAAATTAACACTTACGGGTCTGTAGTTGTATTCAATGAGATGTTTCGACAAATGGTAGATCAAATTATCGCATTTGTATCCAACTGCTCCAGCTGTCAAACGACGGAATGAGGCATAAATTACACGACGTGTTGGATATGCTTGATAGAGAAGCTCCAGAAATGCTTCTTTTTCAGAAGACGTGGCTCTGATGGCTGGGCAGTCGGAACGAGATGCGTATTCTTTTTCTGCTTTGCTCATGAAATCAGAAAGAAGCGCAAGGATGTTGGCGTGGACACGAATACGGGAACCATCGTCAAATTCAATGACTTCGTCGCCCTCTTGGAATGTCGGAAGGTCTAAATACATCTGGAATTGAGGTAAAGATTATCAGTAACAATAATTAAGCTACCATATTCAACACTCGCATTTCGAACTTCAAAAACTTGACATCGTTTGTCTGAACTTCTACATTAAGAGGATAGGAGAAGCCATCGAATTTGTAAACATCTTTGTCGACAACGTTAAGAATATGAGATTCACATCCAGTCTTGATTCTAAGTTGAACCAAAAGTTGCCATTCAGCAGGTGTTGTAGATTGAACCGAGAGATAGACATGACGAAATCCATATTCGATCACTTGCTTCACACAGAATAACAACTTCTCAAATACGAAAGTATCTTGTGTTGGTCCATTTTTAAGGTTTTGATCGTCAACAGCCACAAAAACGACAGTTTCTTGGATCGCTTCAGTTTTTGCTTCTTCTCCAACAGACATTCTGACGTCTTCCTGATTTGCCGTCTTCTGACTTTCTTTCAAAAGTTCCAAGTCCATTTCGTGGAAACTGATAGCAGTCTCAGCAGACAGAACGGATAGTTCCGATAGCGACATTGTTTGATTTCGCTTCTACTTCTAGTTTTGAATCTTGTGAGAAATACCTCATATGATGCCTCCGCTCTTTTTCTTCAGCTGGCACAGTTGGCATGATCCCTAGCTAACCTAGATCAAGTTCACGTTCAATAAGCAAAAAAGCTTTATGAAAGAGTTTCAAAATGTCAATGAAAAAGTAAAAAACAGAAAGATTGCAATTGGTCAGTTCAACAATAAATAGGAAAGTACTATGAACCGTAGGATGCGGACGGAAGCCAAAAATATGAGAAGATGTTTAGGCAGGGTTCACTCCAGCTGGATAGGCAGATGGTGGTGGACCAGCTGTTGCTTGATTTCCAGTACTAGAAGTTGACGATGTCCCAGAAGTACGGGCGGTCCAGTGAACGAGAGCGTTGAGACCATACGCAAGAACAAGCAGAACGGAGTTTATCTATGAAGATTTTGGTTGGGATGAACTACTCTTTATACTCAATAAACAATTGAAAACTATAAATTTTAGCTCACCGTAGCCGGAAGGAACCAAAAATTGAAAAGATGGAAAATGTTGACAAAATAATAGATGGTGTTGAGAGCACTGCATACACAGAAAATGGCACTGTATCCCAGCTCCTAAAAAGTTTTAACTCATTTTCAAAAAAAAGTAAATTCTAGTTTTTTTCATACTTGTTCTCTGGGCCTTCGGGATCTGTCATAGTTTCTTTCAGAATCAATATTTTTGAACCAACTAAATTAGATTTGATAGAACTCGACGAGCGCTACAAAATGACACGGTTTGGAAAATTGTATCTTATCTATGAACAAAGTTACAGGTCATAAAGTGACTTTGTCCGGACGTGCCGAGCTGCACCTTGCAGGGCCTGCTGTTTTTGTTCCGTTTCGCCCGTAACTTTGTTCATAGACAAGATACAGTTTTCCAAATAATATCATTTTGTAGTGCTCGTCACGTTCTATCATGTCTAATTGAGTTGGTCCAAAAATATTGATTCTAAAAGAAACTATGGCAGGGCCCGCAAAGGCTCGGCAAAGGAACGGATTACAAGTATGAGGTTTTTGAAAAATCAACTTACAACAAGAACCCATTGGCCAGATTTTGTAAATAATAGGTCAAAGAAAACAGCAGCAAATACGCCGAGAGCAGTGATAAACTCAAGAATCGAAGTGAGACAAATGAACCATCCCCATCCACGAAGACCTGGAGATGCCATAAAGATGATTTGGAGAAGTGTAAGGAGCACAAATGCTGGCTTCAGCACTTGTGGCATTTCTTTCATCTCTTGATAACCCATCTTTTTCTATCTGGAAATTATAGAATAAAGGATCAGTGTCCATAAATGTAGTTAAACAGAAAACAGAAAACAGGTTTTCGCCGATCACTGAACCATATTCTGAGTCAGTGGAAACTACAATTTTTGCAGTCACATCGACGAGTTGTTGATGATAAAAGTTGATTCTGGGAACTGATATCGATTGGAGGGAAGGAAAAAGGGAAGAAACTGTAAGGAAAACAACGAGAAGATACGAATAAATTGAGGGAAAAGCGAAGGAAACTAGTCATATCATACTTGTAATCCTGGCCTTTTCCGGGCCTTCGCGGGCCCTGGCATAGTTTCTCTCAGAGTCAATATTTTCGGACCAATTAAATTTGATATGATAGAACTCGACGAGTGCTACAAAATACGACAAAATAGTACGAAAAAGGCAGACCCGGCCCGAGCCTTCCGGGCCGTCCGGAAAAGCCACTTGATGGCCTGTAACTTTGTTTATAGACAAGATACAGTTTTCCAAATAGTAGCATTTTGTAACACTCGTCGAATTCTATCATATCAAACTTAGGTGGTCCGAAAATATTGACTCTGAGAGAAACTATGCCAGGGCCCGCGAAGGCCTGGCAAAGGCCCGGATTACAAGTATGAGAAGGCCCGGATTACAAGTATTACAAAAAAAGAAAACTCAGCGTTTTTGGAAGCATGAATTTTTTGTTTTAATACATAAATTTTTTGGACGCCCATCGGCCGCCCAATGTCCGTCGCAAACTATTTTGACATGAAGAACATTTTTTGTATCAATTAAGGCAGTTAAAAATTAGCAAGTTTTAAAATAAAAAACTCTTCAGAATTCTGAAAAAAATTGCCTTAAAATTTGAAAATACCTAAAACAAAGAACAAGAAAACAATCTTTGTTGTCAAAAATTTCGAATATATCAGATGTGAAACCGTGATCTAATCACAAGGAGTCAGAAAAGTTAAATGATAAAATGAAGAAAGAATTTCAAAAGCAGAAGCACACATCTGGTCACAATCTCATATTTTTTGTGATTCATGAAATTTTGAAATGAAACCTAAACCTTTCTAAAGGGCATAAAAATGGAAGAGAGATACCGGAGTGAAGTATTAAAATAAACAAAGTCTGATTTCACAAATGAAATGGTGAAGCTAAAATTTATTGTTCAGAAAATTAAAACTTAGTTTTTTAAAGTCCTAAAATAATTAGCTTAATTATCTTGACTCCTATGCAAGATATCAAAAATGTGTCAGCTGACAAAACACTTCTGATATTATGATAAACAATTTACCAAATGACATTTTTTATATACCTTATACAAAAACTGAAAAAATTGTCTCAAAGTTAAAAGCTAGAGGGCCTTTCTATTACAGGTATTACAGTATATATTAGCCTGGAATTATTATGCTTGAATTATACGGAAAGAGCAATATAATTCAAGGTTTCCAAACTAGGACGTCTGACTACAGTATCCGAAAACTATTCTGGAAACTGTTAGATTGGAAATTTATAGGTTCCAATTGAATGGACCCTCACTGAACTACAGTGCCCAGATCTGGAATTTTTGATTCAATCGGCCGGACTTGGTCTGATCTATGACCGAAACATCGAAAATGCACCTTTCAGTCTTCAAAACTTCCACCGCCGCCCACATGTCTATAATTGTTGATTCCAAGCTGGAAAACTGCTTAAATAACATTTTTGATTGTGCTTATTATTGTAAAAATACTTTTGACCCATCTATGCAATCTACAGTGTCTGAATCGAAGCCTTGTTCCAAACTCCACCTCGGCAGCCATCACATTCGTCGTCTTCCGACGCCCGGAAAACGTTTCTCTGAGGCATTCAACATTATGGGAGTACTCTGCTAGGTTCCCTTGAGTTTTCCAATTCATTAAAAGCTAGAACGACTTTGTCGTTGGAGCTTTTTTACTTCGGAATTGCTTTTATTCAAAATTCCTACAGTATCTCTGGTATTCTGTGAAAGTGATGATCCAGAACCCGTGAAAAGTAATTACGGAGTTTCTATTGAATTGGAAAACTTGAGGGAACCTAGCAGAATGTTCCCAGAATGTTGAATGCCCCAGAAAAATTTTTTCCCGGCGTCGGAAGCCGACGAATGTGATGGCTGCCGAGGTGAAGTTCGGAACAAGGCTTCGATTCAGACACTGTAGATTGCATAGATGGGTCAAAAGTGTTTTTACAATAATAAGCACGATGAAAAATGTTATTTAAGCGGTTTTCCAGCCTGGAATCAACAATTATAGCCATGTGGGTGGCGGTGGAAGTTTTGATGACTGAAACGCTGATTTATCCATGATCCACATAAGTCAGACGATTGATACTTCCACAAAAGTATGAAAATGTGCTGAAAATTAAAAATTTTTATAACGAAAACTGGTGATTACGAAGCCAAAACCCCAAAACGCGCTATACTTTTGACGCGGTGCATTTTCGATGTTTCGGTCATAGATCAGACCAAGCCCAACCGATTGAAACGAAAATTTCCAGATCTGGGTTCTATTAGACGCTTGTTCGAATAGTGTAAACAGATTTTTCCTATCTGTTACAGGAAATCTGGAAACTCATTTTCTGAGGGGGGCGCTATACTTATGACGCGCACTGTACTATAAAACATTCTCACTTCACAATATTTGCCTATTATGGAATTTGACACATACTGAAATTTAAGAAATCACTAAATAAACAAGTGTTTACGTCACTAATATTGTTTCTTACGAAACCACCATCTGACAAGAATTGAATCCTAATCAATAGAGGAAGAAAGTATGGAGTGACTCTCGTTTGGCTTATGCCACATCACTTTTGATCCACACAATGCAAACATTTGAGTCAGACTCTCTTTCCATCGAAACATGGATCAAATCGATTCAGAGAAAGAGGTGTGAAAAGTCGCAGTATTGGAGAAGTGAAGCCAAATAAAAAGAGTTGAACATGAAGGGGGGAAGAGAGTGGAAAAGAGGAGAGAAAACTTTATTTTGAAAAACGATTGATAACGACGACGCGCAACCCGATCATCATACGACAGCAGGCAGCAATTTTATGGCAAAAGAGCAAATATTTCTGTTTCGCAGAGTATCGTCCTATCTATGTGTATTGTGACCATATAGTTAGGCATTTTCGTCCATTTTTTCCGCGAGTGGGCGGGGCGTCGCTGACGCAAGGCTGCGGCGCGGAAAAAGCCTATTGTCTATTCAAAATAATCGCGCGAGTGAACGAGTGAAAATGTCTGCGTCTCTACAGCGCCTCTACAGGTTTTGATACTCTCTACACGTTTTTTTACTCGTTCATCCGCGCGATTATTTTGAATAGACAATATCGTTTTCTCGAGCCGTTTTCTGCCGAAATTTCGATTTCGGACGGCTGGAAACTTAGAAAATTGTATCGGAAAGTGTGAAAAAGGGTGTTTCGATTATTTTTAGTGTGACAACAAACCTAATTTTACAAATGCATCGTTCAAGTACCGATGTCATGCAGAAAAATTTTTGTTTATGTGAAAAAAAACGTTAAAAAAAAGTTTTCCAAAAGCGAAATCGAACCCACACGTCTTTGCTTAGCACACCGCTTAACCAGTCACAGGTGATTCGCGCAAGATCTATTATAGGTGAAAAATGGTTCGCGCGTAGGTGATTTGGGTACATGGCACGAAGCCTATTATAGACCAATAATAGGCCTATCGCGAACAAACTTCTGCAATAGACCTATTGTAGACCAATTGTGGACGATTTTACCCATAATAGGCTTGTTCCGAAACCTACAATAGACCTATCGCGAAAACTCTATCCATAATAGACCTATCGCAAATATTTAAAAAAAAAATATTCGATGCGAAATAAGGAATTAGAATAATAACGATGTTTATTCAATAACAAAAAAGCAACAAATAAAGAACAATTTAACAATGTGATGGGAAAAGAAAACTTCCTTAAACTCCAAAATACATTAGCAGCCTTCAATATCAATGCTGTCGTCGACATCGTCTCCAGATCCGTCGTAATTGGGAGTTCCGCTGAAGTTGGGAGCGTCTTCGCCACTAACATTGCTCGAATTGAAGTTCAGGGGATGTCTGAAAAGAAAAATTGGAAGAAACAATAGAACGAAAATATTGAAATTAGTTTTTCGTCAGCCGATGACCCATAATTCGTTTTTCCTTAATGTGTTTATTGGGCTTTTTGTTTTGTTGTTAGAAACATATCGTTTTTTGTCTCTTTTTCTCTTTGATGAATTCGGAACTATTTCTAATAAGCGACGGACTTATTTTCAATTTTCCTACGTTTTGGCAACTGCGAGGTACGGTCGACGACTCGACTGCCCAGTCTGCCGACACCGTGACGCGCATTTGCGTACATCTCATTATATTTGTTAACAAAAGTCAGCCAATGCACTCTGTTACGACTATTCGCGACTCACTATGATCAGAATTGTTGGATTGAACGGTTAGTTAATTTTATTAGAATTCAAGGTACTCGCCGCACGAATTTTCAGGAAACACCGTCATTATATAAGAGTATTATAATCGAGAAGAAAACGGAGCCATGTTTAAAACGGATGAAATCGAATTCTGAGCACAAATTTCTGCTAATTACGGATGGAATTTAAGATTTTGGGACGAGAAATCGATTTATATCACCGAAGAAACGCGGTTAGTGTGCAATTGCCGAATATATAGGTACTCTCCGCTTAAATTTTCAGAAGCCCGCACTATTGGTCGCGGAGTCTTCTAGGATGAAACCAACGTGAGGTTATTTTGGATGAAAATGGCGATGCCTCGATTTTTCTTTACGATTTCTCCATTTTTTGAAGTGCGACTGAGCGGAAGAGTGGTAATTTTTTGAATTTAAAAACTCACGATTTCAATTCTGATGCCTCTCCCTTCATTAGTTCATCATGTAGCCAAATCGCTGCTTGCTCACTTTGGGATTTTCCAAATTTCGCGTTGTATCGGGCTCTCACTCTATTTCTGAATATAGGTAGATGAGGTATTTTAGCTGAAAACTTGGACAAACTCACAATTTATTCTCGAGTGAAGATTGAAGATAGGAAATTACTTGGGTTTTTCGGTCTTGGCTGTTCGTTTGACCAAAACCCGCGATGATGTAGTCTGAGTATGCGCTGACTTGATAACGTATTGATTAGTAATCTTACCGCTCATTTTCGTGAAAATCGAAGGGTTGACAGGAACATATTTGTTTGCCTTTTGAGAAGACCCATAGCAAACCAAAAGCTCGTCGGCATTATCAACCTGCAAGAGCAATCTGATCGTTAGTATTACTGCAAGGTTCTAATTTCAAACTGACTGCATCCCAGACGTGAAGAGCCAAGCGTTTCGTATGAGCGTCAAATTGAGTTGAAGTCCAATTGCATACTACATTTTCTGTGAGAATATCCGACAATCGAAATGTTTTTCGACTCGGTAATTCTAATTCTTCGTCGAAGCATTTTGCTGAATCCAAGGAGAAGCCTCTTTTTTCGATATTTCCAACTAAATTGGATACTGTTTTCGTTTCTCGGGGGGCACGACGATTTCTGGCATTGCTCTTAAAAGACAAGATTTTGTTTTGAACTGCTGTTTCGAATTACCAGTGCCGTCTGAGTGGCCATTCCCAGCGAGAACTTTTCAAGAAGTCTTTCCCTTCTTCTCGACATTTGCTTGCCAAATTGAGCCACTCCATGTAGTCGATGTCTCTGTCATTCTTGATCATTTTTTCGATGTTGCGCTAAAAATAGAGGTTATGTTATTTTAATAGTTCTACAGAATTTCTCACTTCACATGTTTCCCGGTCAAATGCACTTCCGGTCTCCATATCATACAACTGTGTAGCTGCGAATCCTATTGGGGACCATTTCTGGTTCACTGTGGCTGTATACAAGTTTCCACGAGTGTAGTCAGTTCCACGAGCATGTTTCCTCTGATTCTCATCAACAAACAATCGAGAAGAAGAAGATGTAGATGGGCTTGTTCTTGTAGTCAAAGGGAGCCGGTAAGGAGCTGGTCTTGATGATCTATTGGGTGTTAGATAATGCATTGCCTAAAAATTTAAAATCTATCCCCATTCGATATTTTTCCGATTGAGAAGTTCATTGAAAATTAACGGAGAAAAATGTCATATATAACAATCGAGAGTAAAAATTCAACTTAGCTTAAATTAAAATTCATCTTTTCAATTATGAATGTAGGCGCCGTTGGCCTGCACAAAAATACTAGAAGATTCAGTACTAACATAACAAGCGACACCTAGAATCGAGTCTACAGGAATAACTTCTCGGCGCCCAGAAAGAGAACCCTCGACTAGTCCTTCATAATTTATCAACTGATTAACCATTTCCGAGTAGTAATAAAAATCTGCGTTTGATAAGGAATTGCGAATTTTCCGTAAATCCATCAGTTTTCGATCTTCAGAAACAGCCTCGATCGGCTCCACTAACGCTCCTACAAGGCTCGTCGTAACCACTGCTGCAACAAATCGAAAACACGTCTTACGTCCCTTACAGCTCGCAAAAACAATATCGTTGTTTGTTTGAGGGGAGCTATACTCGGAAATTAAAGATCCAAGAGGCAAATACATGGTAGAATACAAAACCGATTCAATCGGAATGTTTTCTTTATCAATCTTTTGCACATCTCGGATTCTCCCATCCCATGTCACATGGCTACTTCCCAATCCGGTGTTAACGATAAAAAAACGTTTGAGAGACTCGGTTCCCAGAGGTTTCGAACGCCTGACGATTTCTCTTCTCAAACTTGTATGTAGGAGGAACCTAAACTTATTAAAGGGTTGAGGATTGATAAAATGAAAATAATGGACGAACTTTGTGCATGCATTTTGAAGGAAGAAACGTGTGATGGAAGTACTGTAACCACATAATGAAAACTGATAGAAGCTCTCAAAGCTGAATGTAGATAATAACCCGGTGTTTCCAAAAAGTTTGTTCACATCTGCTAGATGATACAAAAGTTCCTGAATGCAACTTAATACTTCATAAATACCACTATCTGCTTACGTGGGTTTTCATTGTGATATACTCCTTATTAGCTTCCGCCAAATACCAAGCTGCAGCGGCCGACAGCTGAATATCGAACAATGTTGGAGCTTGCGTATTACTGTACATCTTATTTGTCAGAAATCCTAAGGCTATTAGAACTAGTCTAGCCTTTGGCTTCATTGAATCTGATACTAGGGCTGTCAGAGCAAGCGTGAGACGGAGGTGCTGAAAACGAAAATTTTGTACTGTAATTTTGCAGTCTCCTACATGAGTTTTATCTGAGCCGTTGCGAAGGTTTTCAATGTTCTCGTAATTGGAATGCAAGTATACTCGACGAATATCACGCGCGAATGAGCTGGGATCAATGACGAATAAGTCTGACTTTCGGATAAATTTTGTATCTGGAGGAAAGATTTCTGGAAATAGAGGTATCGCTACAGTACTATACTGGAATATTATTAGTGTATACCTTTCCGAATACGATCAAAAAGTCCTTCTCCGGTATTGTGCAAAATGTCAATCGGAGTATTGTAAGGTGCAATGACCTCTACAACTTTAGAACTTTTCGATGAGAATCCATTTTCTCCGTTTTTGGAATCCAACACAGTCAGATTTCCGTATCGTTGTTCTTTTCGGCTTACACCACCCCGCTTGTACAGTGTTTCTTCGCTCAGACAGTAGAAACAAGACATACTAGATGAATGTCCTTTCATACCAATGAAGGATCTTTTCGCCTAAAAAACTGATGATTGATAAACTAGGAGATATTAGTGCACCGGCTGATCTGCACAACACGTAGTGATTTTGCAATCGTAAGTAATGATTCCAACTCTGCCAGTGTGAGCTTCTACATCAGAACGGATCTTTCCAAATATAGCATTCCACAGTAAAGTTGATGGATTTTCACTACATTCGACTGCTCCTTCTAGAATCAGGTTGCACGATTTCTGCATCTCGCTAGACGGCAAATCCACCAAAACAAGGCTAACAGGCCATAATTTCCTGAACTGCATTATTGATCCGAGGTTAAGTGAAAAATTACTACTTTTTGTTACCCGAAATCTGAATTCCATCAATTGAAATAACAGTGGAAAGATTCAAGTGATTCTGAAGTTCTGCTTTCCAATATTTAGAGAAAAAGGGGCTATTCAAATTATGAACGATATTTTTCCCTTCTTTCAGTTGTTTCCTGATTTCCATGATCTTATCAATATATAGTTCCACCAATTCTTTTAATTGGGATCTGCTACCAATACGGACGAACGTTGCAGTAGCACTGTCGACGCATTTATTACTGTAAAAGGGAGAAATGCTCAGTCACTTATACATATCCGTTACCATTTCTCGTGCGAAGACAAAAGTCCCTCACCACATGCGTTACAGTAGTTGTGGCATGAAAAATTACTTTTGTAATGATACCATAATTTCCGCGCCTCTTCCGCAAAAGTATCCTCTTGACTAGTTAAAAGTCGTTCGAATTCTGAATGCGAAAAAAACTACTTGTTTTCATAAGTTTCCTATCATTTACCTCTATTCGACAATCTACTGATACAATTAGATGTTACGAACAACAATACGGGCGTCGAAACTTCTTCTATCATTCTGTTCAAATCTAAACCAGGACAGTGAATCTCTAAGTTCTAGCATAATACCTGTCTGCCCCCCGTCATCCTCATCCGTGTCCTCATCCTTATCCATATCTTCTAATTCCATTTCAAAATCTACATTGGAAGTATCTTCGAGTGTTGCCATCTCTTTGACTGCATACGGAACATCATCTTCACCAACCCTTCTTTCCTGACTGCCTGAAAGTTCGTTGTACAATGATGCAATGATGATGGACAACAATTAATCTTACTTGTATCATTGCTTCCCATTCCATGAAATGGTCGAACTTCCTTATGTGTCGTACGAGGCATGATTTAATCTGATAAAGTTTATCCTTCACACATTATCTTTATAGTTTCACCACTAGAGCTACATCTTACTGTACTAGTTATCGATATTCAATTTTCTCGATGAAAATTGAATAGAAATTTGCATTTTCCAGCAATAAAAAAGTAGTTAACTCACTCACCATAAAATAATACACTTAAAAATTTCAATAAAAATCAGAAAAATATAAAATAGAACCAGAAAGAATTTAAAGAAATAAAAAACACACCGGCAGGCGGTTTTCGCGATAGGTCTATTATAGGTCTATTATGAACTCTGTGTTTTCGCGATTGGTCTGAAATCAAATGCGGTATGGATAAAGCTTCGTGATAGACAAGTCGCGAATCACCTGTGGTACACCAAACGCGCACACCGAGAGTGGGCGCATTGTTTAATTATAACACCGCCACACGCGCGCTCTTTGAAAAAATTATTTTTCGATGAATTTTCTGGAGATTTCGATACAAATGTGCTTCGCATTTTTTTCGGCCAACTTTTTGGAATATCTCACAAACATCATTTTATGTAAATTTTCCGTAGAATCCGAATATGTAAAGAAATCTAGCGTTTCAGCTTCCATTCGTGATATAATTATGAAAAACGAATATTTTCATTGAGTATGTCATTTTGTGACGGAAAATAAAGTACTTTCTGATAATTCAATTCTGTTCAAAATTTATTTGTGTGATGTTCGAGAGTAGTATTATCTATAGAAAACATAATTTCTATAGGTTGTCACTAAAATTTTTCACAATATTTACAGCCTGTTTGGCTGAAATGTACTATTTTCGGCTAACTTTTCTGAGATGTTCATTATGATTTCCTTCTAGTAAAAATCTTAAGTTACTGGAAACAACAAAAATTTTGAGCGTTTCAGCCACCCATCTCTTTTACTGTGCGTTTTTCTGCCGCCTACTTGTGTTTCTTTCGTGTAAGAATTTCAGTAAAAACATTTACATATTTGAATTCTACGTAATCGATTACATACAGAGTCAAATTTTCATATCGATCCTTCTTTTCTAGCCATAGTTACAACCAATCAAAAATCCAAACCCCCCCCCCGCGGAGAAAAAAAATAGGCTCCGCCCCTTTTTCTGTGGTCGCTACATATAGTATAGAAAAAGGACAAAAACTTGGAAATTATGAATAGCGGTGGAGAGGCATTGGAATAGGTGGGGCGTCGAAATTAAAAAAGGGAGAGAGTGGCTTCCAAATAATTCTTTCGGGAAGAGAAATGACGATGTATGACTCTGAATAAAGGAAGAAGTGACACATTTAGAGATGACGTGGCAGTGTATATACTAATTTAGAAGCTGTTGTCAGATAGTTATAGAAAATATGAATTCGAAAAAAAAATGAATTCGAACTTTCTTAATTAGCAAAAAAACAAGATTCTTAATCAGGCAGAGACATGGAAAACGATTTCCCGGTGTTAATCCATCACGGTATACTGTACTCAGGTAGTTCGGAAAACCTTTCTGAGCCATAAACAAGCCACGATTAAACTAAAAAAGGTGCATTGATTCATCATGACGTTTTTTCGATGATAGTTCTTGAGCAATAGATTATGTTTCCAGGAGATTGTGATTTGGATCTTCTCTCAAATAAGCATTTTACGACTTTCAAAAATATGGAAACGAACAAAAAAAATTATAAGATGATAAAAATAAAACAAAATTAGGTAAAATAATTTTTAAAAACAGAATAAATCTTCCGAAAAGCCAGAAAAGGCTCAAAAAGGTTTGAAAAGTTTAAATATGACTGAAAAAGGTTTAACTGTGGCTTTAAAAAGTTTCAGTTTCGAGCGCAGCTGGATAAAGTTTACAAGTTGTTGAGAAAAGTTTGAAAAGTTTGATTGTAGCTTGAAAAAATTTAATCGTGGACTTTTTGCTTGAAAAGGTTTCAGAATTGCTCAAATGTAGCTCAAAAAGGTTTTCCGATCTACCTGAGTAGTATACTTAATTTGAAACAACGGAAATTCGGAGCTGTGGATGAGAAACCCGGTGGCCGTGGCTGAAGGTCCCACAACGACAACTACCATAACCTATAACTATTTTCATTTTCTGGACTTATTTTCTCGATTTATGTGCGTTACGAATTCCTCATTTGCCAAATTCATGTTTTCGCAGTTCGTTCTTCCCGAATTCAAACTCCCTCTCTTTATTATTATTATTGCGCTCGGCTACGGTGGAGAATCTTCTGCAAACACCGTCACGAGAAAGCACACACAATTTTGCGCCCGTTTTGTTTCTATTTTTCCCTTTTTCAAAGCAAAAAAAAGATTTGAAACTAAATTTTGATAAAAATTGTATTATAATCTCATTATTCTTCAAGTTTTGTGTTTTCCTTTGCAGGTGGATGAGAACATATTATGTTATACTACTGTTTTTCCAACTCTGGACTGCGAATGCCGAGTTAATCAGTCTGCTCACCGGTAAGGTATCGTTTACTTTACATTTACAAATTAAGAAACATTTTTTTCAGGAACTGCCGTCGCACTTTCAGCCGGTGCTTTCTGGGGGTTCAGAGACAGGTTAAGATGTCATTTGTACGAGTGTTGTCACGAACCAGATGTCGGTTTTAATCATCACAGTAAGTTGAATTCTAATGAGTGGAAAGGTGAAAAACGAATTCTTGATTTTCCGGTCTGGATGCAGACATCGCAAATATGCTTTTTGGACAGCATTTGGTTAAAGATGTCGTTGTCAATGCTATCAAAGCTCACTGGCACAACGAGAATCCCAAAAAGCCGCTCGTTCTATCTTTCCATGGTTACACAGGATCTGGAAAAAATTATGTTGCAGAAATTATTGCGAACAATACATTCAAGTAATTGATAAAGTGTCTTATTTGTTCAGCCAATCTAAATTTTAGGCAGGGCCTGCGAAGCAACTTCATTCAGCACATTGTTGCAACCAACGATTTTCCTGATAAAAATAAAATCGAAGAATACAAAACAGAATTGAGAAATCGAATTTTGACTACTGCCCAAAAGTGTCACCGGTCAATTTTCATTTTCGATGAGACCGACAAACTGCCTGAGCAATTACTCGGAGCAATCAAACCGTTTCTCGACTATTACTCAAAAATATCTGGAGTGGATTTTCGAAGGAGCATTTTTATCCTACTCAGCAACAAAGGAGGAGGAAAAATTGCAGAAATCACATTGAAGCAATATGAAAATGGGTATCCAAGAGAACAGCTTCGACTGGAATCATTCGAACGGGATCTAATGAATTTTTCGTTCAACGAGAAAGGTGGATTGCAAATGAGTGAGCTAATTTCAAATCATCTCATTGATCACTTCATTCCGTTTCTACCTTTACAACGAGAACATGTCAAGAGTTGTGTCGGTGCATATCTCCGGAAACGGGGACGCGCAGATCTCGTATCTAATGTGGAATTTGTCGAAAAAGTGCTCAATTCTCTTCAATATTTCCCGGAATCATCGAAAGCGTTCTCATCCTCCGGATGTAAACGAGTGGATGCCAAAACAGATCTCGAATTGGCCAAAATCCGACCGTTAATTCATTCTTCTCAGTTTGATGACGAACTTTAAATCATTTGCCTGCTTTGTTTTTCAATTTCAATTTACCTCTATATGTCCTAATCTCAATTTATTACGGCGACTTGCTTTATTTGTACATTACTGCATTCCTCGACGGTTTCTTCTTTGTTTTGCCATTTTTGTCCGGTATTATAAAATTTTTAAATTCTGATAGTTCTTTGCTTCATTCGTTATCAAGTGGTTCCCATTCCCATTTATACTTACTCATTCTTTTATACCAGTTTTCACCCTACATTTTATAGCTGTATTTATAGTATCAAGATGGCTCCGAAGATGAAGAAATCGAAGAAGTCAAAGAAGGAAGAGTCGATGATTAATTTCGTTGAAGAAGAAGTGACTGGTGATGTCGATGAAGGCGATTTTGAAGAAGAACCTGAAGATGTTGTGGAATCTTCAGATGAAGATGAACCTCCAAAGAAAAAGAAGAAAGTGATAAAAAAGGAAGTCAAGCAAGAACTCGAGTTAACAGATGAGAAACTCCAGGAATTGCTCGAAAAATATGAAGCATCGAAATCAGCAGCTACCAAAACTAAGGATGATTTCAAACATCTTCCAAAAAGCCAACGTGGAAAAGCGCTTAAAAAAGCTTTGCGGAAAGACAAAAGAGCTCGTCAGGAAGAGCGATCCAAAATCAGAGACGAACTGGGAGAGAGTGCACCACAAAAAGAAGTTCCAAAAACAATTGAAAGCATGAGAGAGTACGATGCTACGATGGTTGACGAACAAGACGATGAAGTGGAGCATGATGAAGCTAACGACGAGTTTGCTCCGTATTTCAACAGAGAAACGACTCCGAAGGTGATGATTACGATGACACCAAAAGCTAAGATTGTGAGTAATTTGTTTAGAAAATGTATTATGGAAAAAAATGTAAAAATGAGCAATTGCTTTCAGACAACCTTCAAATTCTGCTTCGAGCTTCAAAAATGTATTCCCAACTCGGAGATTTTCACAAGAAAAAATGTCTTGCTAAAAACAATCATCGAGCAAGCAAAAGAAAGAGAATTTACCGACCTGCTAGTTGTTCATGAAGACAGAAAGAAACCAAATGGTATCATCTTCTGTCACTTACCAGAAGGTCCAACAGCTTACTTCAAGATCAATAGTTTGACATTTACACAAGACTTGAAGGTGATATAGCGTCCTTGTATATTTTCTAATTTTTTTGTCTTCAGAAATTCGGAGAATCAACTGCTCATTTCCCAGAAGTAATCCTTAACAATTTCAACACCCGTCTTGGACACAAGTAAGTCAATTATTAATTTCTAACAATATATTTTTCTTATTAGCATTGCCCGAATGCTTGCTTGTCTCTTCCCACACGATCCAAAGTTCACTGGACGCCGAGTCGTCACATTCCACAATCAAAGAGATTACATCTTTTTCAGACATCACAGGTTTCGTCGGATTCTCGAAAATTCATTTTAGTTACTTTTTACAGATACGAATTCAAGAAGGAAGGAACGAAAGCGGCACTCTTGGAACTGGGACCACGATTTACATTGAGATTGAAATGGTTGCAGAAAGGAACATTCGATGCCAAATGGGGAGAATTCGAATGGGTTCTCAAGGTGAGTTATGACGATTTTTAATGTTTTTTTTTCATATATCAGAATACCATATTAGAACCATAATTAATGTTTTATTAAATAAATATTTTTCAGAGACACGAAATGGAAACCAGTCGTCGTCGCTTCTTCCTATAATTTTGCATCTCATATTATCTCACTTGTTACTGTTTTCTGTTTTATTTTTGTTGATTTTATTGAAAAAAAGTTATCCAATCTTTTTAAATGTTGCCAATTTTCTCGGTATACTTCCGAGTTTTTCATACATGCTGTTCATCTTACTCTTTTTGCCAACGATTTGTGGTTTTTTAAAGGTTCAGACCATGTTGGGAAACAAATTTGTCGCCCAGCTGGCGTTACAGCAACTGAAGAATCGAGGACTTCTTACTTCAGCTCCTCGTCTCACTTCTGTCAGGTAGAAACTTGAAAATTCTAATTTTTAAACATAATAACGTCGGCAGACATCGCTTCGCATGGGGATCGGATGCTGTCGGACCAAATGTTCCAGTTGGAGGAAAGATGGGAGCATCTGAGAATCCAGAGCTTCATACCTACGATGGAGATTACCGCGGAACCATTTCAAAGGGTGATAAGCCAATCCCAGAGTAAGAATAGTATTAGTGTTTCACGCTAACGCTAAAAATGTTCAGCTACTTCTACCGTACACCAACCACTGGTAGAACATACATCGATCGATGTGTGACCTACTTCATCTCTGCCGTCATCTGGGCATGGTTTTCCTACCACATGTACTACCATTCTGGACATCTTCTCGGTCATTGGTACATGCCATACCTTACCGAATTCAGTGACGAGGAGCTCGGCATTCCAAAAGATTCTGCAGAGGATCCAGAATACTGGGGAAATCACAAGAAGGAGTACGGAACCTACCGATAAACAGTTCTCTGTTAATAGTTTTTAGATTTCTTGAAGAAGAGAACGAAGACAGTTTTATTTTTACTTTTTCGTCTTTATCCGCTTTTTGTAAGTCTTACTGTAATTGAATAAAGTGGTTTCGACAATGATTGCGTTGTCTAATGATACAAACATAACTAGAAAAAGGTTAAAAATAATCAATAAAAGTTTATTCCTAGAAAAGAAAAAAGTTCAAACACCAAGGTCCGGTACGGTGTCTCGAGGATGATAAAATCTATCTTCTTGATATGCGAGAACCTGGAAATATAAAATATGAAATGTTAAACTTTTGAAGAAATCACATACTGCTTGTTTTTTGGCTTGTAGAACAGGATCTAGTTTTCCTTCTTGCTCTTGTATCCTCCACATGAATCGATTCACTGGATGCTGATCACCTTTCCACCACCTGTAACAAATTTCAACTATTTTTTGCAAAGTTTTGCGCTTTTTTACCTGACTCCAACATTGTAGGCAACTACATACAGAAGAGTTGATGCAACTATCGCTGGTCCCGTCCGTGTCATTGGATATCGTAGGATTTCATGTAATCTGAAATTTATTTTGTAAAAATTGCGGTCATTTTAATGCTTACTTTATTTTCCAATTGGCAGTTCCTGTTGGTTTTGAACTCATCGTAACATGCTTTGAATCTTCCATTTTCTCAATTCACACTTGAAGAAAAAAAAAGAACGTTTTCAACCCCAATAGCTACGGTGCGCAATTGTCTGCGATTGTCCGTCGCAGTGTTTGCACTAGGACTGTGTAATTTTTGGAGCCGATAGAAAAGAGCTTCTTCTAGGAATTGAATCGTTTATGTATTTCAGTTGTCTGCTAATCTTGGAATTTATTTCAGACGGAGCATGGCGGACAATTCACCGCGGGACGAGCCGAAAACGGAAGACGATGCAAAATCTCCATTAGATGAAGTCAAAGACATTAGAAAAGAAGCAGAATTGGTAAACGTTCCTTCTTCCAGAACCAGTGTTTGAAATATTTTTTTATACAGACGCAGACTGGATCCGCGGTCAAACAAGTCGCTGATCCAGAATTCATCACAGTTCAAGATCCCACTGGAGAAGAACCTATAGAGCTGCCAACAGACGATGGATCAGTTTTGATGACCACGCTTCAAGCATCGTTTCCCGGAGCAACAGGATTGAAGTACAAAAACCCTAAAACTGGCGCAAATAGAGCTGTTCAGTAAGTTGTAGTTTGTTATTCAACGACACATTTTGAACGAGTTCAGAGTCGACCCAAGCGGTTTGAGGTTACTTGCACCTGCCGATGGATGGGAGGACAAGACATTCAATGTTATCATCGCATCACGTAAGTTTTTTTTATGTTTTAACCCAAAATTTATATTCTACAAATGGTACAATATACAGTTGGAAAGTGAGTAAAAGATAATGACAGTCAGTGAGAAGACGTTGGAGTGACGTAGTGTGATTCAGAGAGCGAGAGAGTCAGAGCGTTGTCATCAGCTGACGCGACGAGTGCGAAAAGACGTAAAGTGGGATCGAGTGACGACTCGGATTCGGATGACGGTCGTGACGGACGGTCAGGCAGGAAGAGAGCGGTTGAGAGAGACAGTCAGCCAGTTGACCTCATCGTGCTCGGTGTGGACTTCAAAACTGGCGACGAGTGTTTTCAAAAGTACTTCGAAGAAATAGGAACTGTTGTGTTCTGTGAGGTTCGTGAGACTGAAGTGACTTGAAGAAAGTAATTCGTTTACAGACCATAATTGCATCATTTTGCTAACATAAACTTATTGTAGTCACCTAGCTAGATCTAATACCGTCGTTTCAGATAAAAAGAAAATCGGATGGCAGCTCGAAAGGTTTCGGCTTTGTTCGAATGGCATCAGTCGGTGAACAAAACAAAGTGCTCGCTATTCCACAACACATGATAGACGGACGTCGATGCGATGTCAAAGTTCCCGATGGAAGGGTAATCAAGAAAAATATTTATATTCAACATAACGAGTTGAGTAGGGTTTTCAGGACAAGCAAGGCAGACCATCTATCAGTCGAATTTTCGTTGGTAGGCTCACAGACAAAGTCGACGAAAATCAGTTACGAAAAGTTTTTGGCGATGAGGCAAAAGTATATGTTGAAACTGCTGTTGTGACGGACGTTTTCATTCCAAAACCGTTCAGAGGATTTGCATTTGTAACTTTGTCTAGCGCAGAAGCTGCAGAAAGTATTGTGAGGTGAGATTTTCAGTTTTCGATATTTCGGAGCCTGCAGAAATCCTAAACGAGAACAGATCCTAACTAAAACCTAGTTACAGCAAAGGATCCCTGACTGTGAATGGGCTGTCAGTTGGATTGAGCATTGCCCAACCAAGGGAAGAGAACCAACCATTTGGTCCGGATTATGGATTACCAGCTGGCTACCGGAACCGAAGAGATCGTGAACGTCCAGAACGGCGGATAAATCAAAACGAATCTCATTCTCCACTCCCAATGCCGTTTGTACGTCAAGACTTTGGCGGGTATCGACAACAACCACAACAACAGAATTCTCCTCTGGATCGAAGATATTGGCCAACAGGAGACTCAAATCGCCAGTGGTGAATAAGGCCGCTTCTGTACTAAACCCCAAACAATTTTCAATCTGACCATTTTGTTAGTATTCATCTCTCTACACTGATATTCACAACGTTTTGTGATACTGTCATAGAATTTTGTTGGCTATTTTAATAAGTAAAGTATAATAAAAAGAAAATATTTATTGATGAAGTTAAATACTTTATTTGAGAGAAAAATAAAATAGGTTATTTCGGTTAGTTGGTTTCGTTTAGGTTCGGCTTCACAACATCTCAGACACATATTCCGAGTTGATGAAATATGGAGTTCCATTACGATTCTCTGCATCCTGATCGATCACATTGTAAGCTTCCGCCTGGCAAGAATTGTTCATTCTTTGAAGAGCAATATGCTGTGGCAAGTCGAAAATGAACATTTCGGAGAGAGCATCGAGCTGATACTGCGACGGAACGCGAGTCGTTCGGAACGTATTATCCACAGGTTTATGATTGAGAGCATCCAACTCATAGAAGCTTTGTGGACCATCAGAATACTCTTGAAGAGTCGGAGATGATACACTCGTAATTTCTTCCGTCATCTGCCAATTACTATTTATACTGTCCTCTGTGTTATCTTTTATGCTCTCCCATCCATTATCCGATTCAGCACCAGTTATAACGTCGTCAAAACTCGATTTTTCATTTTTCTCAATTTCCAGAAGAATCTATAAGAATCTCGACGTTTTGGATAATTGGGCTAGGGAATTACCAATTTTCGCTGTATATTTTCCATCGATGACGAAATTTGACTCTTCGAATTCTCTGATAATTCGTCTCCCATTTCGACACTAATTCTTATCAAGTTACCGCAATATGTTATAGTTTTATTCAATTTCTACAAATTATGTAAAGAAAACAAAGTTTACGCACGATTTCGAATATAATGATTGTATTTAGAAAAATCGGAGCTGTGGAAGAGAAACGCTTGTGGGCGTGGCCAACAGTCCCCGAAACGAAAACTACCATAACCTAAAAATTTCTCGGTCCTTTTTTGTTAAGGACTTTCGACAACTTTTGTGTGAAAACATCCAAAAAATTGTCGGAAAACGGGAAACCGAAAAAAAGAAAGTTAAGAAATTGCTCATTACGGTAGTTCGGTCGTGGCCGCGGCCACCAGATTTTCTTTTCCAGGGACCCGATTTAGAATAATTTAATGTTTCATCCAATCATTTTCAAATGATGACTGGAAGTTCTTCCGGTTCAACTTTCACACGGTCATATGCTTGATTCTTGGGGGAATTCCTCAGACAAAGAATTGAGTAGACCATAGAAATGACACAGTTGAGGACTGAAATATGACAAATTGAAATCCTCAAAGGGATTGAAAAAGTGTAAAAGATGTACGTTGAATTCCACAGATGATAGTCAGTTGAGTATGGAAGTAGTCCTCGGTTCTGACGCACTTTCGGAGACACACTTGAGTGGTCTGAAAATAGATTCTTTTCTGAATTGGAAAAGTTCGAATAAAGACGAAGAAGCTACTTGAATGGCATGTTGATAGACGAGATATCCAGATGCAATTGCCATCAGAAGGGAGAAAACCAAACACATTCGGAGACATATTGGGTCGTAGTTTCTGAAAAATTTTGAACGAAAGTTACGAAACAGAAAAAGTGTTATTATTCTGGTGCCTTTCTGGAATAAGCAAAAGTTTTCTTTGAAAATTTTCTACTATTCCAATTCGTAGTTTTTTTTTCAGGAATACAATCTGAATCCAACAACACACCTACAACCCCAAATTCAGCCTTTTTTATTATTCTGGAACAAAAAATCGGAGATGCCACTTGGGTTCAAGCGAGGGGGTCAGAAAGCGCGCCCCAGTGAATTTAGGAAAAGTTCTAAATTCGCTGCCGAATTTCGTTGGCTGAGTTTCGCTGTTTTAAATGAAGAGCGAAAAAGCACGCCTTGCAACCAGTTAATTTTGAAGAAATAGATCATGATCTAGATCAAACCCGCGTCCACTTTAAAATTATTAAATTTCTTCTGGCCTTCGAGTTTGCTGGGGCGCGCTTTCTGACCCCCTCGCTTGAACCCAAGTGGAGATGTGGAAAAGAAGCGCCGGTGGCGATTGCCGAACGTCTCACAACGACAACTACAGTAACCTAAAAAGTTTTTTCTTTCGTTTTTTACTGATTTCCTTCGATTTTTCAGCTATCAGTACCAAAATAAGAGATTGACTGAAAACGCATGAAAATCGAGAAAATAAATACGGAAAATAAAAATATGTTTAGGTTACGGTAGTTTTCGTTGTGAGACATTCGGCCACCACCGGTGTTTCTCTTCCATAGCTCGGAGTTTTTTGTTCTTTTTTTTGCAGGAACACTGAATTCTCACCTAGTGGTCACACAGCAAATCAACGACATCAGAACATAAATAAATGCAAAACTCATGGAAAGTGGATCATGGGACAAATAGTTGGACCCAACTCCAGTCAGCTGAAACTCCTTTTTATATTCCAATCCTCAAAATCGAACTTACCAGAATAAAAAATCCACATAGAAAATGAATAATAGAAAGGCATCTTCCAAGATTAAAGTGCATAGTTTGCATCTTTATAAAAAAGTATTTTGCAGCTCTCAAATTTCACAAACAAAAAAGAAGAAAATTACCCGGAAAAACTGGGAGATGAGCTAACTTTGACAAAGTCGTTGGACAAGAAAAAAGAGATGTGAAGAGGACTCGTTTGACATGTGTAAAAACTCGGGGGCAGCTGATTGATGAGACAAAAGAGAGTGAAATGAGAAAAAAAGCAAAAAGAGCAAAAGATTTTCAGATTTATTGAAAAGAACCAAAGCAAAATAGAACCAGTAACAGAAAATTGAAAGAATAGGAAAATGAAAAACAAATCATTTAGAATTGAAACTAGAACCGGTTGTATCAAGATCGGGAATGACTCCAGAATCATCAAGTTTTGGTAGTGCAGGTTTTGACCATGGAGCAAGTTTTGGAGCTGGTGGAGACGGAGAACGGGCTCGGAAGACGGCTGGATTGATCTGGTTAAGGCAACCAACGAAAGCGGAGAAGCTGAAAATATATGTATGTGATGGATAATGCCGTAGCGCCTGTAATAGAAGGGCCTCCACACTGTCATATTTGAAGTAATTTTCCTTGGCTCTCACGCACGCTATAAAAAATGTGACAACTGATAAAATTATTGTGATTTTCATAATTTTCACGTAAACATTTATAAATTAATGAGAAATAAGTAAAAATCATGATGAATGTAGAATCATTGAGATTCCAACATCTCTGCTATTTTTTATCGAAATTCAACATAGTCGACACTTTTTATATTTTTAGTAGTGAGATCTGTCTAATTGTCACAGAATTGTTTGGATTTTCGAAAAAAAATCGACGATTTAAAAAAATTTTGAAATTCCCCTTTTCCTATATCATAATAAACAATTTATCAGTTATCAAAATTTTGATATCTTTGACAGGAACCGAAATAAATTGGCTCAAATTGATAAGTTAAAGGGCCCTTCTTTTGCAGGTTTTACGGTTAATCTATTTTTTGATTTCTGAGTACCTCGAAGAATTTTGGAAATCATGAACTCTAAAATTTTATGCCCTCCCAATTTCCCATTATACATAGAATTCTCAAAAAATACGTTTTTTTCGTTTTTTTTTTCAGAATTTTCAACTGCTCAAGTTTTCAAAACTGAAGGATAGGTTTCGACAGATTAGTCAAGTGTCTTTACTATTAACTAAACCCTTAATGTGTGCACTTATTGATACTTTAGAAGAAAACCCTCGAAATTTTAAATTTCTAATGTAGTCCATAATTTCTCAACATTTCAAAGTCACACTTTTGATCCTACGCTCACTTTTTAGTTAATAGTTTTCGTACGAACAAAACCTCTGATTAAAATTTGTTATCTCCAACTCTATGATTGAATTTTTCTAACTCTATGATTGAATTTTTGAGTTTCATGAACCAATGAACAGCTGAAAAAAACACTATAATTCAATTCCAAAAAGATTACCAAAAGTGTTGATCGTGTGTCAAGAAGCAATCAATGATTCGTTGTTCAAGGTGTTGAATGTGTTCGGTGATTCCGTAAATTTGAAATAGCATACGTAATTCGTCCACAGTAATTATCTGAAAATCTAGTGTTTTTTGTTTTTCCCATTTCTCAAGAATTCAACCTTCTTCTCCGTTGCTAACTTGAACCTTTCGATATCAATATCTGGATTCAGGGAAAGAATAAACTCGAGATCGATGAGCAGCTGAAAAATAAAAACTAGTCATATGAAAACAGGGAAAATAACACAAACCCTGACTCGGCCCTTTTCCCTATTTTCTTGACTAGAAGTTGGCCTACTGGGAAGATGAGAAAATACACTTCCATTGTCGTCTGAATCCAGAACTTCCGGAATGTTGATTCTGAAAGAAACCAAAAAGAACTTTCAGAATATATTTCAGATAACTTACAGAACTTCTCTTGCCAGTTTATCACTTTGGAGAATTACAAAAAACAATTGGTAGTCCACCATGAACAAAATATCGGATTGTTGAAGTTCCTTGTCTTCTTCCATAGTTGTAGCTACTAGCCAATCAAGCAGATTTTGCCACGTGTCAGAAGGATGTACCATTCGAATTGAGGCAATAACGGATGTAATTGAAATGAGACCAGTGTTTTGTCGATCATGTGCTCGTGCATTTTGCACCATCTTCTCAATATCGCTCATGGAAATCTGATCCAAATCTACAGAAAGTTCTCGAAACTCGGAAAAAGTTTCCGGAACCCTCAGAAACATTCGAGTAACTTTTCTAGCACTGTCGATTACTGTAGAAGCGGCAGATTCCGGTCGGAGTACTTCGTTTTCATCGATATCTTGCAAATTAAGCGTATACGAAATGTTAGTTCTGGGAATAGGATATAATGGAGTTTGTGGCTTTTCAGACATTTCTTGTTTTTCGACTACTGGTTCTAATGGTTTCAGAGAAAGTGCACCGAGTTTTGGGAGAAGTGGAAAACCAATCGAAGTTGTAGGAGGACGACTTCCGACGGAAGTTGCATGACGACTCGATTCTGAAAAAAATTATTTGTCTGGTTTGAAACAGGAAATGGGAGAGATTAGGTTGATACAAGCTGTCTGTTCTACATAAATTCAATTTTGAATCACTCATTTCTTGTTTATTGCTCTATGGGTCAGGTAATCGATTCAAAGTTTAAAATACCGTAAAAACTCTAGTGGAAGGCCACCCAAATCACCGATTTTGAGCATATATAGGCTCAAAGTTGGCGGTAACTGATTTCAAGTAAATTGAGTGATGATGTAAATTTTTCAAATATTTAAGCTCCTCAAAACATTTTTCAATTTGAACTTTTAGAAAATGTTACTTTAACTCTGTCACCTCCAAAGCAAACTCTAGAGGAGCCCAAATAGAAAACAGAATAACAAACCTATCGACTCATTTTTGACCAACATACTCGGCGTAGTTTTCGGAGCAATTGGAGGGAGAGCTGGACGTTGTATCAACTTCGGAAGCACATTCCACGTTTGATTCTGTGCATTCAGAATCGCTTCGATAGCATCGTCTCCTGAGCTCATCCGTCATTTCTCGTTTCAATTTGAAACAACTCGACGAGTGCTCATTTGAGTCCAAGAATAACAGAAGAGACAGACCGAACTAAAAAAGGGTAGAGTATAATTGAGTCCGTTGGGAGACGAAAAAAAAATAATAGAAAAAGAGGTGGAAAGAAGAAGGCGGAGTGTTTGTGATAACAGCTTGGATTAGAATATAAGGCTTTCGATGCCGCCGGCTTTCCGTTTCCCTGACGACTCCAACGAGAGAAGAAATGTGCCGCGCGTGCTTTTTGCTCACGAGTTCCGGCCAAATAGAGGTTTCTAGTATCTCGACAATTATAAAGTGCCAAATTGATATTTTTTCGCTTGAGGACAGAATTTTCACTCTGACTGGCACCGCCTACTCCTTATAAGGTAATTAGGGGTGTCTATGTTTTCAATGCATACGAAAGTTTTTGGAAAGTTTATATTACGAATGCTGAAAGTATTTAGAAAAAATATTTAGCACATTTGCGACGGGCCGGGCCGGTCTTTTTTCAGAATGTTTGCGACCCGGGTTTTCAGAGAACATTTTTTCCAGTCGTTTCAAAAAATTTTTCGGGATAATTTTTTCGGGATAACAGTAGCTAACAGGTAAAACTACGCGTCTCTAATTCTTATCTTAAAACGCAATTCAGCTTGAATGCCGATGAAGGATGGAGCCTGATGTTCGACCGCAAGTCAACTCGCAGTGGTCGTAGTGGTGTAGTCCTCGTTGTCTGCCGTCGCCTGAGCAGAACCGGACCACAGCAGCCCGTGGCGGGATGTAGACGTCGAACTTGGCAGGTACGCCTATTTTCCTACTATCATGGGATCTCCCTCACTGTCTAAATTTCACTAGCTTTCAATAGATCTTTTGGCTAGTCACTTTTCCCCTAGGTTAACTGGTTCTAGAATTTCATCATGATCAGAATATGTTTTCTGAGTTCTCCTAGAATCTTCTAAAACTCTTTAACTTTCTAAACTTATCTAGATCTGAGTAGTTTCTAGATTTTGAAAGATTTTCCTAGAATTCGTTTGACATTATTTTGGTTTCCTTCACACTTTCCAAAAATTTTCACTCTGGGAGACCGTGAGAATTCATTTGACTTTTTCTGGTTTCCTTTACTCTTTCGAGCCCCGACGGCTATGACTGACTGAAAATTCAGTCAGTCAAAGGTTTAGCTGTGTTCGAAATTGTACTGAAGATTGGAATTGTCTTATGAATTCTTTGAAAATCTTTTAGAATCTTCTTCCCTTTTCTTAAGTAGGTCCCAGATTTTGTAAGTTTTTTTTAGAATTCATTTGACATTTTCTGGTTTCCTTTACTCTTTCGAGCCCTGACGGCTATGGCTGACTGAAAATTCAGTCAGTCAAAGGTCTAGCTGTGTTCGAAATTGTACTGAAGATTGGAATTGTCTTATGAATTCTTTGAAATCTTTTAGAATCTTCTTCCCTTTTCTCAAGTAGGTCCCAGATTTTGTAAGTTTTTTTTAGAATTCATTTGACATTTTCTGGTTTACTTTACTCTTTCGAGCCCTGACGGCTATGGCTGACTGAAAATTCAGTCAGTCAAAGGTCTAGCTGTGTTCGAAATTGTACTGAAGATTGGAATTGTCTTATGAATTCTTTGAAAATCTTTTAGAATCTTCCTCTCTTTTCTTAAGTAGGTCCCAGATTTTGTAAAATTTTTTTAGAATTCACGGTCTCCCAGCGTGAAAATTTTTAACATTTTTGACTCAACAACGCTTAACTTCACGTTTTTTTCAAAACACGTTTCAAAATTTTCGAATCTGGCACGCAGCCAACTTTTGTGTGCGACGAAGCGCGCGTTTTTCAGGTTCCCAACCGCGATGCCGTGTGTTTGGCCCCCTAACACCGGAACAAAGACGAAAATCAAAAGTCGAAGACGAAGGAGAACAATCCATTACAAAACTGTAGAACAATCCATTACAAAACTTTTGGTCTATTGATCATTTTGATTGGTTAGATACTCGCAGAGTTATGCAGGATACAAATTTCATTACAAAATTCCCAAAACCCCCGATTTTTGACACCTTTTCAAGATTTTCAAGAAAATGAGGACCTAAACCAAAAATTGAAGACGAAGGAATTGTAGCAAATGTCTCTGCGGTATTGATGACGTATTTATTTTTTTGATTCCGTAAAAACCTGATGGACTTATGTACGGTTGAATGAAACCGGTTTTTATCAATTCGGTGTTCATTGATTCATTGTTGTGAAAACTACGCTTCCACAAGTCGGGTGGAATCCTTCTCGCAAAATCAGTGTGAAACAGACTGAGTAACACGTCTAAAACGGCAGGAGACAATACATAAATCAGTAGAAGTAAGCAGATTCCCTCGCAGAACTGCAGTTTACTTTTCCCAATTTTCAATTATTTTGTTTTATATTTTAATTACAGATTCTCCCTTCAGGCTCAACTTCTTGTTTTCGTATTTCCGCCGACGCGTCGCTTCTCTACCCGTCTCTTCAGTCGCTACGCTCTCTCATCGGTGTCCAAAGGAGCGCGCTTGCTGGATAATTTTAGGCCTTGACAATTGTAATTTAATTTCCCTCGGCAGATTCATAACTACACGTTTTCTATGAATTAATACCAGTTCTGTCTAGAAACAGGCTTGTATTCACAGTTTTTGTCCCCCGCAGATTATTGCAGATTTATTCTTCGCAGATGGAACTGAACCGCCTTGGAAAGCTTCACACGAGTTCGTCGTCTAAGCAGAGGACTCACGTATCGCAGAACTGGAAAACCCCAATTTTTCTTATGTTTTCATGATGCAGAATTCCCTTTTCTTATTCCCTTTTATGTACAAGGTGTCCCGGTCCCATGCAGTATTATCAGGAGTTTTAACGCGGCGGAAACACCCTGTACACTTTCTCCAATTTAATAAAAATGTAATCTAAATCCTTAGTTGTTTTTTCGCTACATTTCAGGTCAACCTCTCAAAGCAGTCTAGTCTTCGCAGTTCTTCTAGTCGTCCTATATAATTTTCAACCCTCTAATCATATTCAGTCTTTCTAGTCGTGAACTGGAAGTTCTCTTCGGACTTCCAGGTCATCAAATTCATAACTTTGCTCAAAATTTTTCATAAAATTTAGTGCAGGTTATAGCTGAAGTCTTCAGTAACACAGCAATTAATTTTTCCTCTAAAAAAGCTCAAGTTCGTACTTTTCTGTGATTTCCATTACTCTAGACAACGAGAGAACTTTTCCAAAAATTTTCACTCTGGGAGACCGTGAGAATTCATTTGACTTTTTCTGGTTTCCTTTACTCTTTCGAGCCCCGACGGCTATGGCTGACTGAAAGTTCAGTCAGTCAAAGGTTTAGCTGTGTTCGAAATTGTACTGAAGATTGGAAATGTCTTATGAATTCTTTGAAAATCTTTCAGAATCGTCATTTTTTTTATTTTTTTTCTTAAAGAAAAATCATTTTGAACCCAATTCTATGGATATTTGATTGTGTCTCATGTTGAAGGTTGCCGTAAATATAGAATGGCATCGAAACTTACTACTTTTTATTCACAACTGACAACATTTTTTGATATTTTGAAAAAGATTTTATCAGTTGACTAGTATTCAATATCTTTTACAGGAAATGAGATACATTGCCTAATAGATGACGGTTTGGGTGGCACTCTATCAAAGTGTTTACGGCAGCACGGTGTTTCAGGAAACCTGGCCGGAAAACGGAGACTCCACCGATTCCGAGGGGACCTTGGGCGGCAATGAACTCTCTACGAGACGAGAATCCGGGAACATAATTGGCATTGATGTAGTCGCCTCCTTCGATATTATTCGGATTTGACAGCTTCACACTGGAATGATCATAGGCAGGAATGGGGTGGGGGGCTCGAATTCTTAATCATGTCATAGCTGTTTCCTGTGTGAAATTGTGTATACGCTCACAATTCCACACAACATACGAGCCGGAGGCATAAAGTGTAAAGCCTGGGGTGCCTAATGAGTGAGCTAACTCACATTAATTGCGTTGCGCTCACTGCCCGCTTTCCAGTCGGGAAACCTGTCGTGCCAGCTGCATTAATGAATCGGCCAACGCGCGGGGAGAGGCGGTTTGCGTATTGGGCGCTCTTCCGCTTCCTCGCTCACTGACTCGCTGCGCTCGGTCGTTCGGCTGCGGCGAGCGGTATCATCTCACTCAAA